TTTGTGTGTTTTTTATATCTTGATTTTTTTTTGTTAGTTTAAAAATTCACTTTGATGGTACAACACTGTCAGATGTCGAGATATGCTCGGCTGATTCTAATCATTTGATGGTTCGTGCATTCCTTTCGAATGCGGAATTCATATGCACTCTAACTACATGCATGCATAAAAGATGTGGCTGTATGTTGCTGCAGTACATAGCGTATTATACTGAAGTCTCTCGAACCTTCTCGTTGCAGGTTGGCTTGCAACATCTCAGATTTTATCGCCAACCTGCTGCCGTGCGTCTTGCGCTTTTGTGATTTCATTTCAAAATACTTAAAAATGATGACTTGCGTAAAGATGGCCTGTAAGAGCTGAAAAGCTAGAAATCTGCACAACAACAACAACTTTGAATTGCCTTGTAACGCCATTTCGATTGTTTTAATGCCGAATAAAATGTTTCCATTTTGAAAACAAACTTTCCTGCCTATTAAATTATTAATGGCAATTAATTTGTATAAAAATTTGTGAAAAAATATTAAAACTTGAAAATGAATTTCAAAGGGGCAAACAATCAATTGAATGCAAGTTGTTTCTGCAACAGAATGTTTATCAAATGCATTCAGTAGGACGATGAAGGTAACTGATGAGGAGCATTAATTATTAGGGGCATGTGATGCAAAGCAGCGTTTAATCCACTCTTTCACGTGCGGTTGACTTGCTTGCATGCATCACCCAATTAGCCAATTTATCATTTCTATTGAAGATTTTTAAGCTGAACGTTAAAAATCACACTGAATTTAAAAATTTATTTCAGAAAATCATTTGTAATCATTGAGCGTTTTTTATTAGGTTGATAAGTTCAGCTACAAATTAATTTAAGGCTTATTAAAATAATGCAAAGCATCAGCAACTGCACTGTTCTGGAAGATACATTAGATGCACGAATGCAAGTTTACAATTTTAAAGCTTTTTTTTCTACAATTCAAATATGCTCTATGATGAATAAAATATTTTTCATTTGAAAAAAAAAACATTTGCAACTTATTTTCACGCACCCACGCACGCACATGAAACTCAAATAGGAAGGGAAACGTGCAAGATGTACATACCGCACTATCAATCTTTCAATAGAAATTCGACCGTTTGTTCACGCACTCTGCTCAAGCTCAAGAACACAGAAGTAGTTGTAAAATTTCAAGAAATCGTAAAAGGATGTAAATGACTGGATAACCTTTTTGAAACTATCAATATTTAAAGACTACTTAACCAATTATAATACTGCCTAATTATAATGGAGAAAACGTTATAGCAACCAATACAGATCAATGTCAAAAAGGTCAAAAGGTCAACAATTACACTCTTCCAAAGTTCAGAGGATTCAACAGAGCGCACAAACATCGTAAATGAATACGTGCTAAACGACCCATCACACACGAAACATGTGATAGGCGGGAATGTTTTTGTCATATTCGAACCCGGTTATTGCGAAAGAGCACCAGGCGACCTTAACCATTAGACCAGATGAAATAAAAAATTACATAACATGAAATAAGTATATAACAGAAATACATAACAATTTTTTTTATATAATTGATTTAATAGTTATTATAATATAATATAATATAAATAAAAATTGTATTAGCTATCCAGCTATTATATCACATGAAATTTTGTAAAAAGTTTGAGCTTTTGCTCTAACTTTAGTAGCAGTAGCAGTAATTGTAGTTCAAGAGGCTGTAGTAGTAGTAGTAGTTGAGGTATTTAATTATATTTATGTCTAACCGCGAATGTTTTTATTGGTTTTTGAGTGTAGAAGGTAGCATGCAGTGTTGTGCAAGACTATGTGCTGCTTGTACATTTCTGTAGACTAAGAAAGTTCAATGTGATGATGGTCTTCATGATCGGTGCCATGCTGATGAAATGATTTGCTTCCACGTTAACAGCGTTGAACATAATTGATCCCCGTCCGGGTGTCCAGTTTAAAAAAAAAATTCCATTGCTCTCTTTTTTCCTCTCTCTTTTTTTCCATTTATTTCTATTTATTTATTTCTCCTTCCCATTTTGTATTCTACTATTTCACATCACTCTTGATTTTTTTTCTTTCGTTCTTCCTCAGCGACAATTTATTTCTTTATAGCATAAAAAATGAATGAAAATCAGTTTTCTCAAAAAATTTATGAAAATAAATTATAAAAAATTTATGAAATAACCTTTTTTTGGGACTACAAACTAGGAGTTTTTTTGGAGCCACAAATGTTCTCAAAAGAGCAGTTTTTCAATAGAATCAGCAAGTTCGACATGAATGATTGAGACTTAAAGTGTATGTTACGCTATAAACTTTTTGCACCAAATTATTTTTAGAAAAAGTTAGATTAAAGTTGTTTTTTTTTTAAATTTTGTTCCTCTTGTTGAAAATTTGCTTCTAACTCTTTCATTACTTGTGTCGTCAGATCCGTTGCACATAAAATATTCACTTGTTCATCTTTTCCCGTCTGGCTCTGAAGTTAAATTAAATGTCATAAATAGTTTTTACTTTCCGTTGAATTCTAAGCTCATTCATCATGTAACTCAACAGTTGTAACTTTTATCTCAATCGAGGAACAGAATTTTAAGTTGAAACATTTTCAAATTTAAAAAAAGACGAGTAAAACTTATTACGATTGGAAAATAAAATAACATTTTTGGAAGGGATTGATTGTGTCGGTGGAACTGATAAAATATTTATTATAGGACGTATCAATTACTCCGCATGAATTGCCCATGCGACTCTACAAAGCAGGAAGTGATTTATTACAAGAAAGAGAGCAAAATCTATTTTTCCGCATTCGTTTTCAGCGGGCCTGAATGGAGTTTTTAGGATAGAGAAATATTTTAGGTCTTTGTGGTACTGACCAATTTTTATATTTGGATTAATATTTTATTTTTCTATGAAAAAAAATTCAGTGAATTCTATATATATACTTGGTTGATTGGCAACAAAGTTTTTATTTTTGCGGAATCAATATTTCAACACGACAATATTGACAATATATTTTGTAGTTTGAAAATGTATTTAAAGTTAAAAATCTATAAATTAATGCAATATTCGATAGTTTGATTTCATTTGTTCTTCATCTAAAAAAAGGTTTTGGTCTTTTTGTAGCTTGTTTATAACAAATTTGAAAATTTCAAATATTCAACAGGCCATTGTTTATTAATAAATTTATGAGAAATTCGTCTATTTAATTAAACACTTTTCTATCCATTTATTCATTCATCGGTTCATACTACATGACGATCCTTCCATCTTATCCTTTATTCATTCATCTGCACGTTCTTTCGTTCATTCACCCATTCATTTAATTTTTCATCCATTTCAAACTCATTCATTCGTTTCGTTCATTCATTCATTTATTTATTCATTCATTCATTCTTCCATCTATTTGGTCTCCGTCTATTTACATTTATTTATTGATGCGGCAAAAATTTTATGAAATTGCTACAAACTAATCCCTCCATTTTTGGGTATTTTCTAGAAAATTGGTTTTCTGTCCGCAAATAAACAAACATTTCAATATTTGTTATCGTTTCAATTTTTAAGAGCGCATAGTCTTTCTAATGTACATTCAATCTTTTTTAATTCATCAAGCCAAAATCAAATTTTCAATGTTTCCAATTGATCGGATGTCGATCAATTACTACAACTTGTTTCTTGGAGGGTTTCTTACAAATAAATATGGAAGAAAACAAAAATCATGGAAGCACATGTGCAGAATTGTACACAACACTAAACATCATGACATTGCAACTCCTAATATATTATAACATATGTTTATGTAACATAGCAAAGATCATAAGAGATGATACAACATTCGATGTATGATGGGACTCCCACGGAAAACAAACCTCCATCATCTCCATCATCTCAGTCTCATCCATCATACCCAGCAATCTCATTTCAATTTTAAGTTGAACTTTTAGTCATTACGTTGCTTGTTGTGGCAAAATGGTTAAAATTATTTAAGTCATTGATATTTGTCATTTAGGGAAGTTTCAGCTTCTGATTGCAGTCAAGATGAAAATAAGAATATTACAGAATTTTTTTTAAATATCTTTTTCTCGTTTCAGTGGTTTCTATGAAGGAAAAAGAGTGAGAGCCAAACATTTGGAAAATTAACCGTTGATCGTTCGTCATCCACGACATATCACCGCACGTTGTAAATTCTAATTTAAAAATGGAAATTTGTTATCATGGTAAAACACAATAATGAACGCAATGGGCTGGGCATAAAGATAATTTTCTATCTAACGCGACACGTCACTCCTTTCTTAGATTTGCTTTTAATTTATCTTTTTCTGCCACTTTTTGTTTGTTTTAATCGTTATTCATTCTTTCTTATAAATTCTCCTTCCTGTGTATTTATTATTTTTATTCTTATATAAATTTTTATGTTTACATTAATGTTTATGTTTATGATAATTTTATGGTATGACAATATTTTTCAAGATTTACCGTTCGTTTTATCTGATCGCTTAATTATTTATAACACTTTTTTGGATTTATAAGTTACCTTATTCAGTTTTAATTAGTCCTGTCTATATTAATATTCAAAAATAAAAATAAAAAATTAGTTTTTTTCATACATTTTTATTGTTTTTTATTTGCATATTATGTCACTGTTGTGGGTTTGCTTCAGGAAATTGTTTTTAAAAATCCTTATAATGTTAAATTATCTTTATTTGTCATACATACCCCTAACTTCTAAAATAGTAAACATAAACATTTGTATATAATAATAATCATCATTGTATTATTAATAATTATCATTGAATATAATAATAACAATTTACATTTTTCGTATTTTCAACATCTATAAGATATTAATTACAGGAAAACATCACAGAAGTGTTTGAAACATAAGAACTGTTGCATTGGCGAGAAAAACGATGCCAAATTGTGATTCATCTGCTGTTAAGAATGTAGTTTTGTATGGTGTATGTCGGGGGGTGGGCAAACTACGGCCCGCGAAGCTATTTTATACGGCCCGCGAGGCTTTGTTCGCCAAAAAGGTCGTCAGCCAGGCATTATGATCAAAAAAGAAGCCACAAATCTTAAAAAATTTTCTCCCGGGTTGAAAAAATTTGCTATTCATGTACATGTGCGGCCCTTCAAAGGTAAAATAGTTCTCAATGCGGCCCTCACAGCAAAAAGTTTGCAGTGAAAATATGGAAATGTTGAAATACTGTCGGTGTATGTTTGAATTTGTTGGCGCATGAACTATTGTTGTTGTGTTGGATGAGTTGTCGTAGCGTGTTAGCTGTTTGTGTTTGATGATTCTTGTTTGCCAGGCTATATGCATGCATGTTGGTCGGATCGGACGTCGTTGTTCATCGCTGATGTTAATTTTTCGCTGTTGAGTAATGGTCTGCAATGTATCAAAAATGTATCAACATTCCCGTGAAAATGTTTCCTTGTTATTCGGGACGTGTCATCAATTTAAATGTAACATAAAACTCTTGTGTCAAATATTTTTATGAAAATTTTTTCAAATTTGCTCGCAGGTTTTTGTGGAATGTAACAAAAGAGAAAAATAGCGGAAAACGTAATATGGCGACCTTAAGCAACGTATTAAGTTTCTCCATTGTAGATGTTTGTAAAGTGGAACCGCTGGTTTGGTTAGGTGGTCTGCCTCTACCTGTCTGCTCTCAAGTGTTGGCTCTTGAGATATTGAGTGACCACGGTAGACGCTCTCCTTAAATTTTTCAATATTTTTTTAAGTTTAGTCTGATTATTTTTTTGTAAACTAAAATATAAGCTAAAATTTTTATTTTTTTTTTTAATTTAAAAAAACATTAGGTTAATTTTATGATAGTTTTAGAAAATTCATTGCAGTAACGATAAAAACATTTTCCAATGAAAAAGATAATGTAGATAATATAGAATATACATTTTTATAATTAAAATATTGCAGTTGAAAATTATTTTGCACGTATCAACATGACAGAACCGATGAAAACCAATAACGAGGATGGATAGCGAACATCACGATGAGGAAAATTAGAATGATATCTATGATGAGGATAATTAGAATGATATCTATGATGAAGATAACAACAGTGATAAGTGAAGGGTGTTATGGTGATATAAAAACGATAATGATAATCAAGATGATTGCACAAAGATGTCAGTGCATTCATCTTGATGAATAATTAATCTCAACACAGCGATGCTTCTATGGCTTTCTCGGCTAGTTTCTACTACATTTGCTGCCCTTTTGTATGCTTGTTTGTATTGTTTTGCACATATATGTTTGCATGTAAGTTTGTTTTTTTTGCCTGATGTTTGTATTGTCTGCATGTTTGTTTTTATTGTTTATATAATTATAACTTTTATTAAATATAATTGTCTGTGTTTCAACAATACGTCTTGTTTGTACTGATTGTTGTTTCATTGTCTTTTGGTTTGTGTTGGTTGGTTAGCATTTGAAAAAATATTGAACTTTATTTTTATTATTTGGAAAAAATATTAAACTTCGCATTTTATGCATGAATGTCTGTTTGCCATGTTTAGTGTTCGCACGTTCTCACTTGTTGTTTGCGTTCGTAGAGGAAGAGAGATGAACATGAAGAGAAGGAACGGACGGACAGGCTTAGCGAAATATTGTGAGGGATGCGTTCTGCTCCGTTGAGAGTTGAGTCACAGATAAATGCATTGTTTCTGCGTTCGTTCGTTCGTTCGTTCGTTCGTTCATTCGCTGCTTTGCTAGATGTTTGCGCGCATTTCCTCCCTAATATGATTTTATGCGCCACAGGATGAACGCTCGCTTCCATGTTTATGCATTCGAATTTGTTTATAAATCAGAGAGGAAATTATGTTTATGATTATAAATAGATTTGACATGTTAGTCCATATGTGATTGATGATGACAAGATGATGATGGTGATGACGAGATGATGATGGTGATGACGATGAGGATGACTATGATGATGATGTGTATCTCACTAACTGAAGATATTTTCGTTGGCGGACCTTTTGAAAAACGTTTGATCACTCCATCTGACGTTCAATAGATGGATGAGTGTGGAAGTAGATGGATTGCTCTGAAGCATTTTCAAAACCAAAATAAATCAAAACGAAGATAAATAAAATAATAATTGAGTGAATAAAATGACGAAGGTTTGATTGAATGAATGAGTGACTGAGTGAATGAATAAATAACTAAAAGAACAAACAAATAATAAATAAATAAGCGAATGAATAAACGAATAAATGAATGAGTGAATAGACATTTGAACGAATGAGGTCAACAAAATAACTAAGACGCGACGCTAAAAATCAGACATTAAAAAATTTTGAAAGCAATCATTAACGGCTAGAGACTTGTTTGTTCAGGCATTTTTAATATAAACAAGAATAATAATAATAAAAACAACATTATTGTTGTTATTATTATTTTATTATATTGATTATTTTCATAAATGTCAAAATCATTTGGCTATTGTTGTTCCGTATATGACAACAGCATATTTTATACACGTGTCAGATTCGTGTTAAAAATATGTTACATTGCATATTTTTATGAAGATGTAGATAGAATTATAACACTGTGCTTGAGAAAGTTTCAAACTGTAAAAACATTAAAAATGATTGTTCGTACATTTATATAGTCATTATTACAAAATAATATCTCTATTATAACTTATAACCCATATTAGTTACTTATTCAAACATACTTAATGCTGGATCGTTACTGTTGTTTATTAACCGAATTGTTTAATCTGACTGCTTGCACAACATGTAAAAAGAATATTTGTTGATTAAATTTTGATTTGTTTGTCTATTTGTTGTTTGAAAGAAATTACTAGAAATTATTACTCCGATTTTAGCTGCCTTTAGAAAATGTTTGTTTGGTTCGCTACTGAATAAAAGAGCAATTGATGGGATGGATTGAGACGCCGTGGCTTAACGAGATAGTTGCAACGTGGAAATAATTTTTGCTTCAGTCTTCCACATTACTGCATCCATTATCTCGCCTCTTAATTTTTCAAAGTACAATTTTATATTCGGAAAGTTATATTAGATATTTCTTGATTAAAATGTTTAATTTTTTTATAAAAAAGAATTTATAAATTAAAATATCTAAAACTTCTTCATGTCTGTTAATCGTTTGATGTTTTTTAAATCTCAATATCATTAGCATGGCTACAAAAAACATTCTGATTTTATTATATTCTATTTTTGTTTGTCATCATCGTTATGTCTTCATATATTTGTTTCAATTTCATTTTTGACTCTGTTAGATGTTGCGTTTTTCAGTGTTTCACTGTCTAAATAAATAATGACATGAGGGCGATTCAGCTTAAGAAAATAACTACACAACAACATTACACACAAAAAACATCCCAACTTAACAACAACTCTAAACATAAACAAGGCTGCATAGTAACACAGGACCAACAAACTGAACGTTATCAGATCATATGAAATGACATCAACCAACTCAACAAAACACATTATAACCCTACAACAACAAAAGAACAACAAAACATTATGACAGAACAACAACACAACAACGACAGCATGCAAGTGCATGATTGCCTCAGCTACTCATTTCATGCCTGCAACATTCATGAATTCTCGCATATTTGTTCTTGTGGACAGATAAATTTTGAACTGGCCGCGAATAAACACAACTATCAAAGTGTCTAATGCAAGCAACTACTGCCTATGGTTTGTACATGTATGTATGCATGTATATGTATGTGTGTATGTATGTATGTATCTATGTGTGTGCGTTCCTGTATGTATATATGTAAACTTGTATTTATATTTCATACATATGGATATTTGCACACATGATAAAATACGTGCAGGCGCGCGCGGTGTGTGTGTGTTGTGTGTGTGTGTGTAGTGTGTGTGTGTGTTGTGTGTGTGTGTGTGTGTGTGTGTGTGTGTGTGTGTGTGTGTGTGTGTGTGTGTGTGTGTGTGTGTGTGTGTAAAAGTGCGCAGAGATTTTGTAAGCATTCAATGATTTTATGCTTTCGTTAACGACCCGAAATGTGTAATGAGCTTATTGCATGCATCATGCATGCATGTGTGCATTTGTGTTGTATTTTTGCGTTATTTATATTTGTGGGTATGTATTTAAAAACAATATATAATGTATTTTCTTTTTTTAATTATTATTTTTATGATGAGTATATGCTTGACTTTTTTAAATCTCTCAAAGACACGTTGTAAAATTTTGAGGAAGGAGAAAGAGTTGTATGAAGTTAGGAGCGTGAAGGTAGCAGCCGACCCAAGGTATCAATAATTCAGTTTGCTACTGCGATAATATTAGACATTCGTAATCCAGAAATAGCTTTTTGTTTTAGCAAGCTTTTAAAAGATAATACATATCATTACACCGAACGAACACAAAGAGATCATAGAGTGAACACAAAGAGTACATAGAGTGAACAGAGAGAGAACATAGAGTGAACCGAGGACAACGGGGAAACGACGCGAAACTAAATTTTCCATCCTGTTTGTTGAACTATTTGGTATTTGTTATTTCAAATGAAAACGAAAATAAAAAAAGAAAATAATAATTCTTCAGTGGTGGTCATCTATAATAATAGTTCACCTATAAAAATTGGCAATCCCTCAAATTAAGTCGGAACACAAAACCGGAGATGATCTGCCAAGCAAGTACCAGCCAGCAAACGTACTCCGAAACAATGAATAAAACAAATAAGCAGCCTAATAAAAATATGCAATATAATTTCAGTTGGACAATTTCGTTTTAAAATAACATAACATCATTGGCATGGCCAAACATTTTCTGCTTGCAGGCTTAGGTTTACAAAAAGTTAACGACCTTTTTTTGCTCATTTCCCAACTTGTTGTGATGCATCATCATTTGAAATACAGATTGCCGTTGAAAGTCATCTTTTCAAAACAAATCATTCATTGCATTTGTTGGCAGTTGAATGTTAGGAAAATTATTTGAAAATTGTAATTCGTACCTTAAAACATACATTTTTCAGTTTTACATTTTATAAAGAAACATTTTAAAAGTTTTGTTACTATGAAATGATTCAGACAACAAAAAAAAATCAAAGACAAGCAATTAATTACACTTCATTTGAAAAACATTCTTGTTCAAACAAAAGTTAAAAAAACGCGAAACGACGTTGATGAGTAATGAAGATAATAAATCAGGCCAGCGAGCTCCTGTTCTGCTCATAATTACAAGAACGGGCACCTGGCATCATACATTCCCTCACAGCATACATTCCCTCACTGCATACATTCTCTCACTAACCCGTCTATCCTACAATAAAGTCATTGCTCAGAGAAACTTCATGCAATCATTTCGTGTTGTTATATTATGTACAAAGTCTTTGTTTTCAAGTTCCCACTTCATCAAATGTTTGCATAAACCAGCCAAGTACACAAGCAACTTAACGGCGAGACCAACAGAAAGCAATCATGCATGTGCTGTGCACGTGAACTAACTTACTAAATGTACTAAAGTGGATGGATATATCTACATCTAATCAACATATGTCAACAAACACAAACACATTGAAACAGAACACAATACACATCACACACGGGCACACATTTTCATTGCTAATAGAGCGAGCCATGCAAGCAAATACATCTTCGTGCATCGCTCGCAAAGATCTCACAAAAACGGCCTCCAACTTTTTCATATCGTCTCCACACATAATTCTCTGCGGAATTCTTTCTTGTTCTTTTTAAATAAACATTTAAACATTAGCAGAATTAACCAAATTATGCGTTTTGTTAGATGGTTCACTTGCAATAATTCACAATTTATAAACAATTTTCTCGATTCAAATGTAAATTTATTCAAAAAATTGGTAAAGCGATCTAAAAAACAGCTAAATAATTTTTTCCTTAAAAATTCACGTTTGCCGATGAGTTGCGGCCATTGAAGCAAAACGTCTGCAAAGAAATTTTCACGGCAACTAATGACGTGATGTTTGGAGTGGACCTCCACTGGCGTTGCGCTTCACTTCCGTTGCATTCCTCCTCCTTCTCTTCCTCCTTTTCTCCGCAATTATGGATCTGCAGTAGTCTTTATTCGCAATTTACAGATCCCTTTAAGATGTTGAACTTTTTAGTTTATCAGCGCGTCTTAAGCAGGTTGCGAGTCACGAATGCGTTGCTATTTTTGCGTTAAATTTTTTGTTGTCGGTTCAATTTTTAACCGTCATCATAGAAATGTCTTCATTTTGTTTGAACATTTGCCTTCAACCAGTGGCGTCACTAGGGTTGGTGTCACCCGGTGCGGTAACTCATGGTGTCACCCCTCTCATGACACCCCATAGACATACAGCATTCTTAGCAAAATTTATAAACACGAACAAGTTAAATGTGCTCGGCCGCGGCGCTTAATAATTCGGACGTCGAATTTGAATGGTATAAATGTCGAATACAAAAATGATTTGAACGAAAAAAATTTTATTCATAATACATTTCTGGGCGCTGGGCGGGTTAGGCTGAATTAATGATAAGAATAATTTCATGGAGGGACATAAAAACATATACAGTGATATTTTGGTGTCACCCCCTGTGAGGGTGTCACCCGGTGCGGTCCGCACCTCCCGCACCCCCCTAGTGACGCCACTGCCTTCAACTGCAGGCATTTGCTCACACTAATCGGATCCTTTAGGTTCATTAAATTCGGATCCGCGTAAGGAATAAGTATTTACAATTTTCTCATTTGAATAATCTAGAAAATATATGAGTATTGCTGACGTTCTGTTAACAAGTTGGACGGTTTTTGTGGAGACTTTTTGTGATGCGTTACAATGGTAGATCTATTTAATTTCTCAACAAAAGTTCATCTATAATATGTAATATTTATTTTTGTTTTCGTGAAATACAACGCTTTAATATGCATTCAATTCACTTTTAAAATAATTTCACTAATTTCACAAGCATTTGATATAACTCAAATATTATTTGACACATTGTTAATCTCTTTCCGCAGTTATTACATTCTGGGTTCAACCTTCTTCAGTGTTCATCCACGTACGCGCTGAGACCACTGTTATGTCGTTGTTATGCATTATTATATTATCAAACACTTACTTTATTGTTTCGTTTCGTTCCATGTGACATCTCTCTGAAATTTATTCACAATGATTCACTGTTTCGTTGATTCCCTATCAACCGAGGCTGATTTGTGTCTAAATTACTTCTGCTTGCTATTTCTTCTTATTGGAACTTGTAAACTTAATAGTTCTGTTTGTGTTTTTTCTTCACAATAATTGAATATTGTAGTTAACAATGAAATTCAATTAGTTTTTTTAATTATTTGTTTGTTTTTTCATTTTTGCTTGCCAAAACAAATTTGTATTTCATTTCATTCAATTTCTGTAGCACATTTTGTATTTGCACAACAAAACTACAAGTTCAATGCAGAATACATTTTCAAGGCAAACACTCGCAATCATTTTTCCTAACTGATTTTCTACCCTCGTTTTTGTTTATAAAAAAATCATTATTCTCAATAGATCGCATTGTAAATAAAAAAATTTATAATAATCAAAAAAGAGATTTTTGTAATTTGTTGACCTATTTCGAAGCTATTGTGAGCCCCGGGCAAACCCACGCAGATGATTCTCAAATAGCCAAGAACAAATCACCAGCTTGTACTATTATTACCAGAAATAACATCAATATGTAAGGGTCATCACACTAATAACTGTAAACTGTTTTTTGTATTAGTTATAGTAGTAGTTTTAGTTTTAGTAGCACAAATAGTAATAACTGTAGTATTGTCACATTTGTCATTAATTACATCAGAATTGTAATATTTGTAATAGATGTTTTAGAAGAAGTATCAGTAATAATGCTAGTACTAGCAGTAGCAAATATTTATACCTAGTTATTTTTATTCAGCGGTATGCAAGTTATTACAAAGGGAGTGTTTATAGTGAATAATTGAATTGTTCAAAATTTTCTGAAAAAAAAACTCAAAAAATGTTGAAAACAATTAAACAAATTGCTTGGTACAAATTGACGACAATTCCCGAAAAGGTTTAAAAAACAGTTTTCAACTATTTTTCAACATCAACCACCAAATATTTTAAAGTAATCACTTAATAGCTTGCCGTCAGTGAGCATTCGCCATTGCCATTAACAAATTGTTTTGAAAATTATTTAAATGATTGAAAGGCAAAAAATTCGTCCTCACATCAAATCACATCAAACTACATCACATTAAATCACATCACAACACAAAATAGTTTATAAACTCAAATAATTTCCTCTTCAGAAGCACACGATTTGCAGTTTAACAGTTTGAGGCAGTCTGAAGTTTTTGTTAGTTTTCAAATAAATGTTTTAAAGTGTAAAAAATGATTAAAACCGCTTTTCACATTTTCTCTAATCTAATCATCGTGAGAAATGTCGATGGAAACAAAAGCGCCACTTTCCAGGCATAACTTTTTTCTGCATCTTCTGTTTACACAAAGAAAATTTCATTGTTTTTATGGGGCGAATTTCCATAATAGATTGATTGCTTTTGTTATTAAACGTTTTTTTACATGCCGCGTCACTGTAATGAAGAGGATTCATTCGTTTTTACTCAACACTGCTTAGGTGCCTTTTATTCTTTAAGTTGTTTTTCACGAAACTCTCAACTAATTTTTTACATAAAAATCTTTTTGTCAATCTCTTTGAATAAATTAATAAGCAGAACCAAACAAAATTTGTTGAGTTCATATTTTAAAAGATTGTTTCCCCTAAATAAAATTAATTGAAAAAATTTTAATTAAATTTATTAAAAATATTCTAGTTCAGCAATCAATCAAAATAAAAAATTTATAAAGTTTTTTTTAATGATCTTTTTAGAAACTCACGCCATTTGCGGATTAAGTAGAGATTAAATCTTTTTAAGATTAGGAAGACCTTTCCATAATTATCATAATTATTATTCCATATTAAATATTGTTCACATCACCATTAAAAAAATTGATAAAATCTAATTTCAACCCTAACCAAAGCGGTGTTTTCATGCATATCAATAAATGTATCAGCCCGATTTACTCCTAGTATTGCACACTGGTTTTCCAACGGAGCAACAAATTATCGCAAGAAAGGATAGTTTGTTGCAGCAACTGATCTATCGTGTCATTTTTTCCTCGCTACATGCTAATCATGTGTTTGTTGTAAATAATTATTTGTTGACATGTTATTGAATGTCGTTGAACATAATTTTTAAATCAAAGTTTCTTACATATCAATTGACAGATGGTGTTTTACGTGCTTTGTGTTTGCGTAGCTCTATTGTGTTGTGATTTCTGCTATATAAATCGTCCATCAGATATTTTGTAGATGTACTAATAACGTTGTTAAATTCCATTACACACGATGTCAAACTTTAAATAAAATGTCTGTATATGTTGTTAACGAATGTCTCAAAACAATTTTATACGCAAGTTATGAAATATTATCCTTCAACTTTTACATAGAATATAGCCCCCTGCCATGCAGACTACCACGAAAGCTCGAAGACAATAAAACGCAATTTGTTTCAAATTTCCTTCGCAATCTCATGCAAACTGCCATCTTTATATCCGCTATCACAATCAACCAATTCTTGATTTTTAGTTTATAACATTCTTTTATGTGTCCAAAAATGTCTTATAATTGTACGATTCTGGTATCTGTATGATTCTTTAAACTATAATATTTAAAACATGTTTAAATTAAATAATTTCTACATAAAATTTAATTGTGGACAATTTATTTAAACGACCAAATTTTTTGAGCAAAATATTATTTTCATTGGAACAAGCACGAAAGCGTGAAAACATTTCAACGATATTCGTTGGTAAATTATAAAATATGAAACCAATAAAATTGTGAGACGAATGCGTTCTGTGCGAAATAAACCATGCGGGTTCTCTTTTAAAGATGATCAGTCAGCCGTGACGATAGAAGAAGTAAGACTTGTGGTCGAGTGATAAGCTCGCATGCGTCTGCTAAGATCTTTCCATCTCATTATCAGCTGAACGTTATTATATTTTGTTATAGAATTATTAGGTGGACTCGTTTTCGTTACAATCAGAGGCGTGGTCATGGGGTTGATTTGGGGCAGACACCCCCATACGCATTGGAAAATTTAGTAAAATTAATCAATCAATCAATCAATTAGCTTATAAAGCGCTATTTCCGCGATGTTCAACAGCGCTCCTCAATGAATTTTGAAAACAGATGGGTCTTGAGATCCGCTCTGAACTTCGCAAGTGATGGAGAAGTAGTCAGAGAAGTAGGTGGAGAGTTCCAGAGAACAGGACCAGAAAAAGCAAAAGCAGATTTGGCAAAAGAGTGTTTAACACGAGTTAAGAAAAAGCGAGAAGAAGATCGTAAACCGGGGCGTTTAGGTTCAATTAATATAAATACCTAGAAAATAATTTAGATTGAGACTTATACATGAACGTGCAAATTTTAAAAATTATTCTATATTTTATAGGTAGCCAGTGCAGGAGAACAAGATATGGAGATATATGAGAAAAGAAAGGAGCACGAGCAACTAGACGAGCAGCAGAGTTAAAAGCTTTACTTAAAGGATAGAGTAAAGAGTCAGGAAGACCATAGTAGAGCGAGTTACAATAATCAATCCTAGATAAGACTAACAAAGTAACAAGAAGGAGAAGAGTAGGATCATCAAGAAAAGGCAAAAGTTTTTTTTTCTACGTAGATGAAAGTAAGAGCTTCTAGCAACACTATTAATCTGAGAAGAGAGAGACATAGTAGAATCAAAGATAAAACCTAGACTACGAAACCTAGTTCAATTTGCACGTTAAGAGAGACATCAAGAGTTTTAGAATCAGGTAAGATAATAGGAGGAATAGTAATAGAGTGTTTAGATTTATTAAAACAAATTAAGAAGGATTAAGTTTAAGACACATAGAGTCAGACCAAGCAATAATTGAAGAAAGACATAGAGATAAATTATGAAGAACACTATTGAGATTAGATGGAGGAAAAGAAGTATAAATGTAAGAATCATCAGCATATAGTTGACTAGAGAAAGAAAAGATATTAATAATACGAAGTAGTTCAGAAGTATAAAGTATAAATAGAAGAGGGCCAAAGATAGAACCCTGAGGTACCCCGAAAGTAAGAGTAGAAGAGTTAGAAGTAGAATTATTGAGAACAACAGAAGAAAAACGATTACAGAGATAAGAAGAGAACCAAGAGAGACAAGAATCAGTAATATTAAAAGAATGATGCAGCAGTCTCAAGAGAATAGTATGGTCAACAGTATCAAAAGCCGAGGAAAAGTCAAGAGCAAGAAGAAGAGTAAGATTACTATTGTCACTAGAGAGAAGGATATCATTGTGTGTAGGTAAAATCAATCAAAATTTATCTCTCTATATATATATATTTGGATCAAAAAATGATTCGGCTCCTCTCCCCACAACAAATAATCCTATTTCATACAAAAGACTAGTTTCAGCGACAAACTTGAAAAAAATGTGTGGAGTTAATAAAAAATCCAATTAATCAATTATCTTCATCATCATTTGCATCATCAAAATTATCAAACACCACAATATCATTATCAATAACATCTCCACCACCACCATCCTCATCATAACCATCACCACCACCATCATAATCATCATCATCACCATTACCACCATCATCACCATCATCATCATCACATTTGTCAACGCTTTGTTACGTATGCATAAAAATCATCACAAATAAAATGTGAGAAATTTATAATATTGGATAAGAAATTCTGATGGTGATGATGATGATCTTTTTTTCATCATCAACATCATTGTCGTTAACTTTTATCAAAACAATAAACTATTTATCCTCAACAAACTGACCATGACCATCCTCATCGTCGTCATCGTCATCATTGTCGGCGTCATTGTTGTCGTCATCGTCATCTTCCTATCCAATGAATCATATTTCTCAGTGGCATTATGTTTGCAAAGCACGGCGTCACTAATTTGCTACGCACACAACAAAAACTTACCTTTAAATGGATCGTTTCAATGAGACTATCCTCTGACGTCTGTGTTTGTTCGACATTTCTGAAATTCATCATGTTTTTTTTAGCCAAAATATTTTTGGAGACAATTTATTATTATAGAATATTTTATTTCATAATATTAATTTATGAATGGTTGACTTGAAACAGTCTATGACATCACTACCACCATCATATCATAATGTTCCTGATTTCAGATTGTCCATGGTTTCAAAATGTTCATTTCAACCTGCTTATAACTGTTTGTAAACAGTTTAAACATTTATAACAAGTTTGAAATGGAAAATTAATGAAACCGAATTAATGACCAGTGTTGTATAGTAATCGGATTACAAGTAATCCGATTACGTAATCGATTACATTTTTTTGATTCTGTTAATCGCATCATTTATAAAAGTAATCTGTAATCTGTAATCAAATTACATTTTTTGTGTAATTTGTAATCTAAACAGGTGTCGCGATTACTTTATTTTAGATTACTTCAACGACAACAATACCTAAGATTTTTAAAATTTGAAGTTAAAAAACTAAAAAAAAGACTTATTCAAAAGAAAGTTTATCCATTGACGTCGTATGCTTTTTAATTAGACCGCCCACATAATGTTAAAAAGTTGGTCTGCTCAAGAACGTTATGAAGCAGGATAAGCAAAGTCGCTTCTGGTTCAAACTTGTTTGAAATTTCATGAAATTTAAAAAAAATGGAATTTTTTAAATTATTTTATGAATAATTACAATTTAATAATTCAATAATTCATAAAACTATGTGACATTCATTAAATAAAATTCTCATGATGTAATCTGTAATTTCAAAAAGTTTGATGATGTAATCTGTAATCTGTAATCGGACACATCATTGCAAAGTAATCTGTAATTTGTAATCTCAAGCTAATTTTAAAAGTAATTTGTAATTTGTAATCAGATTACTTTCCAAAAATAATCTATACAACACTGTTAATGACTAATATATTTTGCCCCGTTAATTAACATTAGGTGTCATTTTCACCAATATTAGCCTAAATTTGATAAATTAAAATAAATAAAAATTTTTTTTTCATTATTTTATTAATCCAACCCTGTCAAACACTATTGATGTAAGTGATGGATTGACAATGAAACCTTTATGCAAGGTATGAAACATTGGGAATAAGAATTATAAATATTATTAAAAATTTTGTTCAAATCCTAAAAAAATAATCTATTTTTCTAAAAACCTATCTTTTCATCGTCTTTTGGCAAATCACAAATATTTTTACACGGCATCTACAAGCATCTACTCAGGAGTAAGAAATGCTCCGAGCGAATGGATGGGGGCCAATAATACACTATACATTGTATACGTTATATATGTTTGTGTGTATACGTATATATGTATATATATATATACATATATATATATAATGTACAGATGTTTTATAAATATGCAGTAGACATTGAGGTAGGGTGAGTCATCATGGGGCATTCATTTCTTATAAATTAAGTAGGCAACATGGGTAGATTCTATTGTCAGTACAGAACAAATCAATTATTTATAATTTTAGCAATATACATAATTATTTTTTTCAGTGAATCATGATAATATGCACATTTTACAAATTTTAACATTAACAAGCACATTTAAATGCAAAGCTACTTTTAAGCTTATCAAATTACAAAAATAACTTTTTTTTCATTGTCGTGTCAGCGACTAGTTCTCAACTTAAACTTAAATTGAATAGAATGTAGACAAATTGACAAAATGGTTTAAATTATTTTTAATGGCGAAAAAATCATGGGCTAACATTTGTTACAGTTATCCGAAAGATCTGGGCCTAGTTGAAGTGTCTGATTTGTCACATTCGATTAATGTTTACTATGCTTATTTTTAGTTGATCAATGACATAGTTGTGTTAAATTATAACGATTTATTTATTCAAATGTCATTTGTTTTTGTGCATTTTAAAATTTAAAATAAAATGAAAGAATGTTTTCAAAATGTAGAAAAATCTACACTGATGCGGGTTAAATACATTTTCATTGAAATATAAATGGCATAGTTACCAATGAAAAGGGGTTATATCAATAATTTACAAATAAGTTGGTAACTCATTATGGTCTTTTTCGTTGCAAATTGAAAACCAAGTCCCAAATATTTTATTATGCTATAGGGCCCATTGATTCGCTTACCTTTCGTTGTTTCTTTTTGAGGTTAACGTGCTCGTAAATTTTCGTTCCTCACGATTCACTAAAACATCAAAGAATGGAAAAGATTCATATTCTTTGTGCGTTATTATGCAGATTATTTTGAATTGGCTAAGGGTTACCAAATTTTTTCAATTTGTTTAGAATTATTGAACCCAACAAACACGTTGCCATCCATATGTCGAAAAATTTAATTTAGTCACAACACTTATATGCGTATGTTTTGTGTATTTGGGTGCATGTGTGCGTTCGCGTGTGTATTTGCGTGTATTTGTGTGTGTTTGTGTAGTGTATGTCAACAAAACTAACTCCAACAAACATCACCTACAGAATCGTTGAGCATGCCTGAATTTTGTTCGACTATCGGCTACTTCAGTCAGCCATCAGAACGTGTTGAGACTGGGGACACAACAAACTCAATCAACAGTTAGACTATTTAATTTATTCAATTTTTAATTTAATTTAATTTAACCTTTTAATTTAGATTGATCATTTTTAATTGTTTAAACAATTTTTTCGGTTTTCACCACTCTAAGGTCCCTAAAAATGTTGTTTGATATTAAACTTTTACTTAAATATCAGTCACATCGTTTCAATATCTAGGGGATGTTCTGGATTGTACTGCAACAGCTGAAGCTGCCGTTCGAGCACGCATACGTGCAGCCTGGAATAAATGGCATCTCCTTGCCTCTATATTGATGCGGCGTGACATCCCACTACCACTACGATCAAGACTTTATAAATCTGTGATACGTCCGGTGTTGTTATATGGTGCAGAAACATGGCCAATGACAACCAAACTGGAACAACAACTTAAACGAACCGACATGAAAATGCTCCGATGGATGCAACGAATTTGTCTGAAGGACCACATCAAATCTACCGAAATCCTGCGCCGTGCTGGTTTAGATGATATAAAGGACGAATGCCGGCAACACCGTCTGCGGTGGTTTGGTCATGTCAAACGAAGTGGAAACAGTGCCATAACTTCTCTTGCAAATGTTGAATTACCTGGCACACGTCCCAAAGGCCGTCCAAAAAAGTCCTGGTCATAAACAATCGAGCAGGACATGAAAGCTCTAAATTTAAATAAAATAGATACAACTGATCGTCTAATTTGGCGCAAAAAGTTGATGGCAAAGAAAACAACGTTCTACCTCGGGAAACCGGGTCTCTGGACGCAAAACGAAGATTGATTAAATAAATATCAGTCAAAGACGCACCATAAAAGAAAGATAAAAAATTGTGCCAAGACGCATGTAATCGACTTGTAGTTCCTCTGCGGTCAATCTTATCAGAACGGAAATTAATTCACAAAGCCGCATTGCCCGATAACGAAACAGAAATAGATAATGCCGGATAGAGTTCCGCGCAATAACTCATGGACGCATGTGTGTATGAAAAACATTAGTCAAAATAGAAATTTGTATCTTTCCCATAATGACCCTTTTGTCTGTTGCATGTGAAGAAACAAGTTTTAAGAAATAGACATTGAATTATCTGTTGTGTCCGTATTGCAGTATACATCGTGTCCATAATTGAATTTTGTAGTACCTACATACATGATCATTTGGTGGCAAATCTTTTCAATTATTTTGATAGTGAGCAGGAGATTAAATAATGGCCAATCATATTATATCTACCATTTGCTTCCGGTACTACTATTACATTTCTGTTAACGCTTCTATTAGATAATAAAATCCTAAATTTTGTAATGCTGACGTTTAATAGCAGCGTTGCGTTTACTTGCTACCACTACTAATTGTGCTGCTGCTTCTCTGCCACCCTTGTTACTAGAAACACTCTTCATGCTACTTCTGCCGATACCGCTACTTGATCCTAATGCTTATATATTTGCTTTACTGCCGCTCTACTACCTTCTACTAGTAGTACTACTATTATCATTATTACTACTACACATATAAATATTACTACTCTCAGTCCTATTTCTTTTATGGAAACTAATGCTGATAATTGTACTAAAATGCAACTTCATCTAATTCCTCTACAACTAGCAATATAGCTGTAGCAATATAGTGGAGGCAAACATTGATACAAAACTATAAAAACGCTAAGATAAAATGTAAACGCAAATTTTGCGCGCACAATGGAACTCGTATCATTTACATTAGTGAGAGAGAACATCGCCTAATGTTGGGGCATAATTGTGCTTGTTTGCAAAATAACTGATAATGCAAAATGCTTTGTAATCTGATTCTGTAATTGCGAGGCTCTCTTCTAAGTGCTTCTAAAGGTTTCATACGAATTTGTTGCCATATACTTACAAAATTATATTTTTAATTAAACAGAATTTAATTTTAATTTTCCAATGTTTTCTTCATTAGTATTAAATTTTGTTTCACTGATTTTGATTAATTTTGAAGGAGCCATAAGGAAATCAGCCTTCGTGATCGTGGCCAGCTTGTTCGTGCTTCTCATAGCGCTCTCCCTCAGCATCCTCGGAACAACAAAGAACGACTACAAAACCATCGTAAGCGCCGTCGTCTACATATTTGCAGGTCTGCTCGTAACACAACTTTCGTTTTTATTAACAATTCTAGTTGAATTATTTTTACTTGCAAATTAGAACTAGCGGCATCCAAACAAATAAATGACCATTTCGTCAGGAAAAATACGACAGAATTATTCTGGGAGGGAAAATTGCGGTTTTAAGCCCAAACAAAAGCTATAAAAATGAAATTTGCGTCGAGCCCAGCACAGCAAATAAAGCCAGTAAAAAAGTATCGAGATTTTGAATGAAGCATTAAAATAACATTCGCCACAGCATTCTAAACATTTATACAGCACTTTGGACTCACGCATGCCAACTCAATGAAAACAAATTGATCAATCAACGTAATTTAACAGATGCATAATTTAATCAACATAACGTGAAAATTTTCATTTACATAAAATCAGCCTTAGGATTAGCCATGGGAATTGTGATGTACATCTCCGCAGTGAACGACGAAGTATCACACCGCAAGAAGACCTCAGACAACCTGGAGAAAGCATTCCGGTATCGATACGGGTGGGCGTTTTTTTTCTGCGGGGCAACCTTTATCTGCTCCCTGGTGGCGGCCATCAGCAACATCTCCCTCTACCTGCTACGCTATTCCAATCTGGAAGATAAAATCACGCCCGAGTTATACGGCGACTACTTGCAAGATCACCAACATCACCATCAGCACCATCGCCCGGAATCCCTCTCACTCAATCTCTCTTCCATCGCTTCAACATCAAACCAACCAATCGATTCATCCGTCCTAATCTTTCCATTACCGACAGCGAGGCACCAGGGTGAGGCGAGAGTTTCCCAAATAGCCATATGACGCCTGCATTCACTTCTTGCATGACTTCTTCAAAATTTCATCTTCTTTAAAACGCAAAATTGTCAACGTACAACAAATGAAGTAATATTAATTTAGCGTGAAAACTTCTTACAAGCATTAAATATAATATAGGCTAATAAAGCAAAAAAATGTTAACAATGCGAATTTTTATAAACCAATTCATTAAAGGACATTTTTGAGTGACCAAGGAATGATTATACGATTTTTTTGCCATAGAAGAAAAACAGGGAGGACATTTAAATTGACGACAACAGCTTAGGAAGAGATGACATGACAAACAAATTGGCGTTTTTACCAACATGCCGAGAATTAGTCGACCGTTTTACGCGTTTATGCGTGGTCCCGCATGCTTGAAAAGAAACTTTTTAATACAATATCCTTCAAGGCCACCAAAAATTTTTGTTCATTTTAAATCATCTTGAAACTACGAACTTGAGTTTTGTCGCTTGATAATAATATTATTGAGTTATTTATTCAAAGTTAATTAAATCACAAATTCACTTGTATGCTGACTCAAACAAGCCCTGCTTGATATAAATGTGTCTTTTAATTAAATAAAATAATCTAATTGCACGAAATACAGATTCGTTAACATTATAATACATCTTGTTTCAATTTTAACTTTACAGAAAGTTATTTTTAATTAAATAAAAGTTTACAATATTTTCTATAGTTACATTGTTGCTCACGAGCTTTGAAAATATTGAAAAGGATCAAAAAAACGTTGAAAACGATAGGATATAAATCAAGTCCTTTTCGAACTGTACACTTTGACACCCCTGCTGGTTGATAGTCTTGCATATTTCATGAGCAGGTTGCCCACGTTCGTATTGCCAGTACATGAATCTCTAAAAAAATTTTTTTTAATTATGAATAACACAAATATGAGCGTTATGGAAAAAAGTTTTGGTGAATAAAAATGAAGAACATGGTCTTAATAAATTTTTAAAATTTCCCAAGACTACCAATCAATAATTAATTCAAAATCAAAATTGATCGATAGATAGATAGATGTATATGTATACGTGATGCAGCTTCAACTCTGCACTCAGCATGGATTCGAACCCCATTCCAACGCCGTGAAAACACATTGATGATTTGAGTTAACAAATCATTCTGACACAAAATAGGCTGCAATCGGCAGTATCGGTGGAATATTTTCAACTGAATGTTTAGTTAGAAAATGTTTTGTGGAACCGTTCGATTCTAACGACCAGCACGTGCATGTCAGAGCAAAATATTCCTCCCGATAAAACCATGCACTCACAAAAATGTTCTCATGTATGTAGGAAACCGTGTAACATTAAAAGTTGTTCAAACAATTTTATGAAAAACTTGCGTTACTCTAAATATGGGGTGATCTCCTCAAAAGTCCATTTTTCTTTCGTCTTGAAAAGAACTTGAAACCTACAGAAAGGAAAATATCAATAAAATAACACTGACATCAATCTTGAAAACGAAACTATTTTATAAATAAGTTAACTGGATAAGATTAGCTTTCATAACCAAGATGAGATTAAACGAATAAGAACAAATTTGTATGAAGTTGATGTATAACAAACAACCTGGCCTGCAAATCCTCAGGTAGATCACAAGCGGGAAAGTATCGAATAACTTCCGGTTTGCTGTCACGGTCAATTACTGCCAAGTTCTGTCGTGGGTCAATTGAAAATACTTCTTCACCGAACATCACTCAACTCAAGAGTTCAAGCAAGTAATAATAACATTTCGCTCCATAGCAGCAACAGTTTGTTTCAAGCTGCAATAAGAAACTGGACTGAAGCAAAATGTTTTTGCAATGACCAAGTCAATGTCATCTTATTGTACAATGCAATTTGTTCGTTAATTTGGGTTGCATGGTAAGCATGCAAATTTCACAGTTGGTTTTTTCGTAGAAGCACTAAAAAAATATTTCTACTCTACACCTTCAGTATTTGTAAGGAAGATTAAAAAAAATACATCTTTCCGATTTCATATCAAACTGGGTTGTATTGCTCTATTTCATTTTTAAATTAATAATTTTTTAATAAATTATCATAATGTATTTAGAATGGCGGAATAATAAATTATGATAATGTAACTCAACGACCTTGAGTTGATTTAAATCCGTAACCATGCCGTCAGGAACGGAAAGCTGCCACGTCTCACAGAATTCCACCAGGTTGAACTAACAGCGTCGTTCGTGTTTGTTTGTCAATTTGAAATTTACAATTTATAAGAAATAATTTTTCAAATTAAATTAGTTCAACTGTTTTTAAAAAAAAACAATTTTTATAAAAGTTATTTATAACATTCAGAATGCATGTTATGATGCGTGCGTGTATTATTTTCAACTCACTTTAGCAGTTGTTTTGAGGATCATCTCGGCATAGAGACGACACGTGTCGAGTTCGTTCAATGAGCAGGTTTCTTTTTCAAAATGGTTTAGATTTAAACGTAGATCAAGTTGAAAAGTTCACATTTTGAGAAATTAAACAGTTGAAACGTTCACATTTTGAAAAATTAAATAACTGAAGAGTGGACGTGTCGTCATTTATCATTTTATTACTACAAGTTATATTGAATGATGACATTTAATTTTAAAATACGATGGCGTCTCATCTCCTGATGAGGATGTCTAAGCAAGTCCTGCTTACAGATGCCCAGCAACAACTTGTGACGCATACAAACAAGACACATTCATTCATTCATTCTTCCATCTATCCATCCATTCACTTATTCATTCATTTATCATTCATTCATTCATTCATCCATCCATCCATTCATTACCTTTGCCGTCATGTTCTATGGTGAAAAGGCCCATCACGTGATCAGTTATTTCTCTGAAACGTCACAACAACAACAACAATAATAATAATAGTAATTATTATTATAATTATAATAATAATAATAACGACGCTAATAATTATATAAATAATAATCAAAATAAAATGACACTGATAGTTATAACAGAAATTGAAATAAAACAACAACTCTAATGTTAATGCAAGCAAGTGGTTACTGCTACCTCTTATACAGTTCCATGAGAGCCTGCTCCAGCTGACGTGATGGGATGCAATGGTACGACCAGCCATTCTCGTCCACAATGGCCAACACTGATCGAAACAGTGAACACAAATATTCAAAATCGAGCAACCTCCAGTAACCTTTTTCGTACATATTCATACAATAAATTAACTAAGCAATTAATTTAATCAACTAAGTAATTAATTTAATTAACTAAGTAATTAATTTAATTAACTAAGTAATTAATTTAAATAAGTACATCAGTTGATTAACTAAATTATTAAAACACTATCCAATATGATTTACTAAAAAAAAAACCTTTTTGTATATTTGAAATATTCAAATTTTGAAAAAAACATGCTAATAAATTTTTCTATTTATAAATATATAACAAAAGAGCAATACTTTTTAAAAATAGGTTTAAGGTAATGAATAATTTTATGTCCAAAGTAGAAAACAAATATATATATAACACACACTTAGACACACAATTAGACACACACACAGACACACACCTAGACACACACCTAGACACACACCTAGACACACACCAACACACAGTGCTGACCTCCAATCTGACATGCATGTAGACTCTTGAGACCATCTTCCAACTCCTTATGACTTGTTTGAACTTCATCCAACAAATCTTCAAATGAGTACTGTATGTATGTTAATCAATGTGTTCATTTGTCTTGTGTTCTTCATCATGTTCATTCATTTCATATTTAAAGTTATTTCACATTCATTTATGTTTGACATGTAAATTTATTTTCCATTTAAATTTGTTTTAAATTTAATTGACTGGTTATAAATTTTATAGTCAAATGATTGTTGATGAGTTATATCATCATGTCAGTTAGGGGGAAACGTCACAACATGAAATGGAAAATATTCAACACAGATTCAATTTGAAACCGAAATTTACCAGTTCTTTACTAAATTGAAACATTAATAAAAAATAAAAGTAACTGAAATCCTTGAATGTCATTACAAAAATCCTTGGTGAATACAAGTCTGCAATATTAATTACCTTTTATAAATTGAATAAAATATAAATAAAATAAAACAAAGCAAAAAACTGAATAAGAAGTAGCTACCAAATCGTGTTGATCGGTGTCACACGCGCTGTACGGATGCTCATCCAGCTTCTCCTTCAGTCTCTTCAATCGTGCTCTTCTTGCTTTCAATTCGTAATAATTGTGCTTCAGTGTTTCAACCTGGTTTCAAATTCATTGTTACAAGCCATCAGATTTAGTTAGGTTTCAACGGTTCCAATCAAATGAAAATATTTAAAATATAAATTCATTAATATAAGGCCAACTGTTTGCATTATTTTTACATTTATTTATGAAACTTTTAAAACAGCAATTTTCACACTTTTTATTTCAAAATTTGTTTTAAATGTATATAATTTCACAGCAGAATATGACATGAAATGGGTTTTAATAAAAAAAACTGTCTATTAAATTTGTCATCTTATTGATTCATACATTTATTAATAATTTTTTTCTTTAGACAAACATCTTCTGATTCTGACCTTTCTTGACCTCGTGTCGAAATCACCTTCGGCAGCAAGAGCAGTTGGTGGTGGACATTTAGACAGGTCACCCTTAAATAGGAGGAGAGAGTTTGAAGTCTCTGACTCTCTCAGATCAAATGTTTTACTTTCTGTGCATAGGACTGCTGTGTCATTTGCACCACCGCGAATCACGAAACTGCATTTAAATTTTTGCTCAAATTATTTTTTCACATCAAAATTGAATCAAGAAACTTAACAAAATGTAAGTTGTTGGGTTTTTAACTTTTATATAATGTTAGTTATGGTCATAAACACCTCCTGCTGCTCTTCAAATCTTCCAAAAGGCTCTTATCAATTTCAAAAAGATAAACATCTTCATGGTGCAAGTTTTCACCAAAGTAAAAACTCTGGACATAGTTTTTCATGTAATTTTTATCAATTTTCGCAAAATTTAATAGTTCAAAAATCTCTTCTTGAGATCTGCTGGATAAATATATTATAATTTAAATTTTAAAATAATATTTTATTTCTAAACCTGATTTTGATTTTATAATATTTAAGTTATTTTATTTAATATAAAAATATAAATAAATTATAAAATAATTTTAATATTATAACATTAATTACTAGACCTGTGCGGAATGACTCGAACTGACATAACTAATTATTTAAAATAGTAATTAAATTATTTTTTTTATTTCTTGTTAAAATTTTACAAGTCTTGTTGACGATTTAATTCTCAAAATTTATGTCTGACTGACCTGTTTATTTATATTTACCGCTAACAGTGCAAAAACTGGAAAATCCCAAAGATAACTTAATAATAGAAAAATACGTTATCTGAAATTTGTTTTCAAGGTTTTTTAAAAGTTTTAACCTTTTATTCTACATTCTAAATAGTATAATATATATATATATATATATATATATATATATATATATATATATATATATGTTAAAAGAATGTTAAAGTTCTTTTAATTTAAACATTTTTCCAAAGTCTAGGAGAATCAACAAGACACAAACAGCGAATAATCCCGTGCTAAACGAAGCATCTACACAAAGGCATGAATTTTTTTGTCATATTCGAACCAGGTCACAGCACGCACTAGGAAACAGGACCAGGTACCTTTAACCACTAGGCTATCAAGACGCCAATAGTTTTTTCAGTTTGTCATAGAATGCCCATGCGTTTGTTAAGTCCACCGTCTATTTCTGTCTTCAGGTTGTAATTTATCAAGTTTTAATGTACGGAAAAACATCTTCTAATTTCATCAAAATCATGTATGCCAGTTTAATAATAACAGAAGACATTAATAATTAATTAAACATTTGTATGTGTGACGTCATTGTTGCCAACGCTCTCACTAAAAGAAGAATACAATAACAAAACAAAATGAAGAATACAAAGCATTATGGATAGGACAATCATTGTAAAGAAGAAGCATACATCAAGTAGCCCACCCTAAATATTTTGAAATTAAAATTATGAAACGATATTGAACAAGGAACTGGCGTTAGAAGAACGTGTGGTTGTATTTTTATATGAACTATGAAAATGAATGAAGTCTCTCCTCAACAACTAATTAACATTTTTTTAATTGCAGATCATCAATCAAGATTCTTACAACTTGGAAGAGAATAAATTATTAAAAAAATTAATTTTAACTTTTTGTTTTTCTTTTTACTTCATGTATCTCCCTTAAGACCATTGAATTTAATCAAATAGTTAAAACCAGCTGATTGTAACAGTAAATATGGCAAATACAGAAACAAGATGTATTAAAAAGATATTTTTTACAATAAGACTATATATACAACCATGACATTTAGAAGAAAAATTAACTAAAAATTGATGCTCACAAAATGCAAATTTCATCATTTAATGGCTAAACTAATATTCACTTAATCTTTTTATGGAATATTTTAAAAATTTTGAACAAATTTAAAAAAAAATGTAGGTACGTGTGGTACGGAAGTTTCCTAAATTTGTTTGGGAAATGTTTCTGTGCTCATCGAGGGGTCAACTTTTTGATAATGTGGTCAAAATTTGCTTATAATGTCACTTTTTTAAAAACACTACTTTTTTGTTAAAACAACGACTTTTACTAACTTTTAATGCAAATAAAGCTCACAACGGGGGGACACTTGCCCCTTCCGCCACCTAGATCAGCCACTGCGATAAATGATGAGGTGTGCCGTCATAAAGTGATTGGTTATGTTGAAAGCATATGCTGTACTTTTAAATTTCAATTTGACAGACTGTAAATGGCCAGCAAAAATTTAAGTTTCTACAAAGGGTATAATTAATTGAAAAATATATAAAAACCTATTGATATATTTAAGAGCATGCGGTGAATAACTTAATTTAATTTGGCTAGAGTGAAAAAATTCATTTTTAAAAATAAGCGAAAAACTTCGATAGAGTTCAAAACAGAAAACATTAAATTTCATTTTGATACACAATAACAGTTTCGAAATCACAAATTTTGTTGTGAACACTTATAATATATATGTCAAGTTAATTTATACCCAACATTATTCAATAAAAAATTGAAGATGTTTTGGAAACGCATTTCATTCATTTCTTAAATCATCTTCCTTTGTTTAAAAAGATAAAAAGCCTGCTGTTTCTTCACAAAAGACTGAAGTGTTGAACCAAAAATTTAAATGAAATAGCGAAAGATGCAACTTTACAGATGAGAAGAAACCCTTATTTCATGTGGATGTATAAATAAAACAATTTCAATATCGAAATTATGTGACTTAACAACTGCTGCTTTCGTATCACGAGATAAGTAATTTGTTAATTTTGGCTATTAAACGGACGATTATTTTATAATGAATGTTCCAAAAGGCTGTTGATACTGGCTAATGTGCTTTGGTACGCTCGCTAATTTGCTCGTCCACCACCTTTTTTCTTTCATTTCATTCCTCGCATTTTTTCTTTCACTTCTTTGCTTATTCTTTGTATCACCAGATGCACACAACGCTTCTGGATAGAATCTAACTTTTTACTTGTATGCCACATTGTGTTTTCTGACCAATAAAATATGGTGAGAAAGATAAGGTAGAAAGAAAGAGAGTACAAGCAGAAACAAAATGATCGTGGACACGCGTGAGATACTACTTGTTGTATTATTACACAAATTATTTTCGTTGTTATTTGACATAGATTTACAAGATTTGTTTTGCCAGCTACTGTTTACATGTGTTGTGTGTGTGTTTGTCTGTGTGTATGTGTGTGTGTGTGAGTGTATGTGTGCGAACGAGTGTGTGTGTGAATGATTGTGTGTGTGTGTGTTTGTGTGTGTGTTAGTGTGTGTGTGTGTGTGTGTGTGTGTGTGTGTGTGTGTGTGTGGATATGTTTGTGTGGATATGTGTGTGGATATGTGTCATTTCAAGTTTCAACCGGCTTGGAAATAAGTAGTGTTTGTATGTAAGTATAAAGTCTATAAATGTCATAACTAACAGACAACATAAATATGCAACAAATTGAAATCGTGCTGTGCTTATTTGTAATGCAATACAACACAATGGTTTAATGGTAATGTTAATTGCGAAGCTGTAGCGCATTAGGCAAATATGCTGCAGTACGGTTCAATATTGGAATATATTCGATGTGTGAATGTTTTGCGTAGTTTATGTCAATTGTACGTTATAGGATATAACATTTTGCAATACACAATGTAAACCATTGTCATTGCCGTTCATATAAATTCTGACATTTATTTAAACTTCTTCATATGCTGACGATCCTTTTGTTGACTGAACGTTGAATTAAAAAGAATTGTTATCATGCGATCGTAGTCATAACTTAATTTTTTAAAATTTCGCACTTTCAATTTTTGTTTGGACTGAAAAATGGAAATATGAATTCATTCAGAAGAAATACGATATGTCTGGAGCGTCCAAATACATTGCCAACACAAAAACATGGCTTGAGTAAATTTTTAATGGGCAAGAATGTCAGTAAAAAAATAATAAACAGCAATAACGAGTCGAATGCCACATCAAACAACGACATCAAAGATGATAAAAAGGTGATTAAATCGATTCTGAAAAGACCTCCTCCTCCTTCTATTGAAGCGACAAAGTCGAATTTAAACAGAAGCACGTCGATATCATTTCCAGATGTACGAGATGAAGATAACCAACAAAAAGATATAGTTAAATTAGTTGATTTGGTAGAATCATTCCAACAAAATGACTTACCATCAGCGAAACCACCTTACAGTTTTTTGGTGACTGTGGTTCCCATGGATCAGGAGTTTACAATGGACAGCTGGAGAAGAATGCGGCACAACAGTGTCTTTGAAAGTTTTCAGGGAATTTCAGTAAGTTCAATTCATTTCCAGATCATTTTATTAGACACAACAGTGTCTTTGAAAGTTTTCAGGGAATTTCAGTAAGTTCAATTCATTTCCAGATCATTTTTATTGTACCACCTGAACTGTCAACACCTGCATGTTTGATATTAGACGAGTATATAAGTAAAAAAGTTACGTGTGTGTGATTTATTAATGAAAATTAGTAGTTTAAAATATATATTTATTGGTTCATTCTTTTATTCACCGCGTTTCACATCTCATTCAACAGTCGTGAAAATATTGAGAAAAAACCCATCTGTAATGAACGTATTTTATTGTCTTTGTTAAGTTTTCAATGTTTAAAAAGTAAATATGATGTCGCTTATTTTATAAAACTTCCTATAAAATTTTCAGACTATAAAATGGCGGTTGATATTCAAATATTAAATATGATTATTTATTTTAATTATTCTGTTAATCGCGATGGTTGATTCAAAAGTAAGATGTTTTTTCTATCTTTTCTAGCTTTTTTCTGCTTATTACTTCTTTTCTTGTTCAGGTGCATGTCATCATGTCATAGGTGTTCCTTTCATTTCATTTCTCTGCTTCTGTTTGTTTTTGTTTGTTTGTTTGTCTGTCTGTTTGTTTTTCTATGTTTTTGGTTGTTTATTAGAGCTTCAGTTATTTATAATATTCAATTTATACTGATTTTATTAATATAATTTTTATATTTACTTACAGTCTTACACTGTAAGTAAGTCTTACAGTCTCAACAGTACTAACTATTATAAATAATTTTATTTTATAAATAAAAATATTATAATTTTTAATTGATTTTTTGATTAATGATTAATTAGTTTATAATATGACATAGTATAATAAATTACTCAATCCGTCAATCAATAGTTTAGTATGTGTAACTGTAAAACATGATATGATCAGTTAACGAAACGTTAACAACATTTATGATCAGCAGATCAGGTTATCTCATATATATATATATATATATATATATATATATATATGTATACATATATATATATATATATATATAGATAAAATATATATATATAAATATATTATCTCAAAATTGACTAACATAGATAGTTAAATACAAAAACAAAGCCTATCCTCTTACCACCACACCAGCTATCTCCAGAGTAAAAATCAATCAAATGAAAATTCATTTAAATTCAGTGTTGCTATCTATTTAATTAAATAATATTTAATTTATATATATATATATATATATATATATATATATATATATATATATATATATATATATATATATTAACTAATTCAGTTAAACTATAATTATACATTATAGTTATTAAAGTTTTTTATTATGCATTCCAAAAGGCAACATCACACACTCCAGCTGGCCTTCATTTTATAAATAAAATGAATTCAATTAATAAACGACAGAGTTTTTCCTTCAACAAGAAAACGGTTTTTGACTATGAGAGGTCAAAAAGTAAATTTCTGGATCTCAAAAGAGACTCCATGTCTCGGATGAAACATTTAAGGTTGATTACAGGTTGGTCATTACTTTCATTAGATTATTTATGATTCACCCTATTTGTTATAATTATTACATCAATTAAATTTTAAACATTATTAAATTAAATTAAAATTATACTCAAATTTATTTAAATTGGAATTAATTTTATTTTATTTGAATGTAAATAATTTAATTCTAACAGAAAAGGGCTCCCAAAATCAGATAAAAGATTTTTATGAAGCAAACTATTCATATATATTTTATTTGTTTCACGACTGCATAAAGGTTACAGACATTCACCAGCAAATTAAGAGTTAGTTGAAATGTGAAATTTCATTTTGTTTTAACTTTTACTGGATTATACTGGATTATTATATTTATAACTTTTACTGGATTTTACTGTATTATTATATTTATATTTATCAATAATTTTTATGAATTTTTAGCAAATCAAAAGCAAAAGGAAGAAGTAGAATTGATTTTTATGATTTTTGAGGTATGTGTCATTTTAGGATAGCTAAACTAGCTGAGATATTAAACTGTTGATTTTATTTATTATAGAATATCTTGTGTCATCTTCCTCATCTCATTCACAAGAGATGGCATTACAACAGCATTTGTTAGTTTTCTCATATCTTTTTCATTTTGTTGGAAATTTTTTTTTAATTTTGTATTTCCTTTTTGTTACTGAGAAAATTTTTTATAGTTTTTAGGTCACGTTTTAACATTTTTTTGCATGTTTTCTCTGTTGGTCTATCATTTTCGTCTTCAAATTAATTAATTTAATTAGTGATATTTATAAATGCTCATAAATTATTTTTTTTAGTGTGAAACAGAATTCAGAGTTTAATGTACTCAATGTTATAATTAAATCTTTCTTAATTAATTTTTCTATGCCTTAAATTAACTTTTATTGGTAAGAAATGAGATTTTAATTTAGAGATGAAATCAATAGTTGTAGTGCACAGGAAAAGCTTCCGGGATGTTTATGAAAATGTCGCTCAAATTAGCCAACAATGAAAATGATCATAAATCGTGCATGGCATGCTCGTTCAATTTCATGTTGTATTATAAGACCACATGATATGTGGGCAGTAGTGCCAGTAGGTTGGAAAGTATGAACAAACACGTAATTTTAAAAGAATTAAAAATTCGAAATTACATGTTGACAAATATGACACTTACATGAAATTGATCTAGAATCCAGGCTCTCTTCAAATTATGTTCATTGAATGTTATCATGATTTAGGCAATATGATATTTTTATATTTTTGTTATTGTTTGCTATTGAAAATAATTCTCTAATCTTATGTTTCTACAGCTCGATTCATAACCCATCTATTGAGTTCTGATGTCTTATCAAGGGTAATGTCTCTTGAACATTTACAAATGGCTAGGTAACTTCAATCATAATTTTTATTTTTTTAATTGAAGAACTTCAATGAGGGATTGAGATTATTCATAATTTGGTATTCCATACTGATGTGGAATGCTGATGATGATGTGCACAGCATCTTCAAAAAGTTAACTGCAAGCACACCCATCCTTGCAGGTCAGTATGCTAGTAAATGTTTTTGTCTGGTTAATAAATGTTTATAAATCTTTATGTATGCTTGTTCATATTTCAGGATTATTAACAGCTAACACATGTCTTTGCTATTGTTTGTTTGCGTTTATGAACTCTTATTATGCTAGTGATGTTTTTATATGAATGTGTGTTAATGCCTGCAAGTTTATCAGAAGACTTTTGAGGTATTTGTGCAAAATAACTTTGAAGAGATATCATTGTGTTTGGCTTGATATCTGCTTGCTTTCATTGTAAGGTTTCATATTTCTTCATTGCTTTCAACTCCTTTCTACTTCTCTTAAAAAGATTCTGTGTTAATTGCAAACATTTTTTTGTTTCTATTTTGTTAATCAAAAATCTTCTGAGTGGCTCAAGGCATTCATTAGTTGATATACTGTTGATGATATATATATATACATACATATATGTAGGTATTCATTTAATTTCAAGATTTTGAATCATTGACATTGTCGATTTGATCTTTTTTGCTTTTAAAAGTTTTTGATAATTTGTTGCTTTTAGCCTTTTATTTAATTTTTTTTAAATATTTTAATTATTACTACTTTGTAACTTAATACAATTTGTATTTTTGTTTTTGAAATATGGGGTTAACATTAACTGATATTTTTATTTTTTAGTTTTCATTCATTTTCTTTGCTTACTCTACACAAAAATTAATCAATATATAATATGAGTTTTAATAAGCTTAGATTAATAGAATAATTATCTACATTTGAAATGCCAATCTTTTTTATTTTTAGAAACTCATTTGCACAATTAATTATGCAGATTACTGTTGACATTCTATTGCCTGCATCATTTTTGTCAGGTACTAATAGCCTATCTTATCAAATGCTTCCTACCTATGCACACATGGTTTGTTGTTCTGTTCAGTTCTTATGCATCTGTCTCAATGATCATCACTCAGTCTCTTGTTTTTGAAAAGTTGAAACATTCAAATGTTTTACTTTGGTTGGTGCAACAGTCTTCATCCCTGCCTGGTGTTTAATTTGAATTATTTCGTTATTTCCTTGTTTGTACTATAAATAGCCCTAGATGTCGTTTGTTACTTTATTGACATCACTGAGGTCTTTACATCATATCACTGATATCTTAATAACGTTTACATTATATGCTAGCCTCCATATCTCTCAGATGGGCTTCGCTATTTTTTAACTGTTATTATTTGTTTGTTTCATGTATTTCTCAATGCATAGACCAAATTAAATGGCATGTAATGTAATTAGTAGTTGGGAGCTGATAAGGTGGATATTGTGGGGAATCCCTTTGTCAGGAATTGGTTTAATGGTGACTGCCATGTTAAAAAAAGTTTCAGAACTTTTAGTTTGTGTGAATGAGGAAATGAAAAAAAAAATGTAGAAACAACAGGAAAATATTTCGTGGGAAAGTTAAGAAAAAATTACTTCATTATAAATTAAATTTGTATCACATGTTGATGAGATTTTACATTTCATTTGTTTTCAAGATACAAATTAAGTCTGCAATGTATGTGATATTAGTAGGAAAGGGAACTTTTTATACATTTATAATTAAAGAGCTTAGATGCTTTGTATACCTTGCTGACAACGACGGGTTGATCAATCCAGTTTAATGCAGAAAATAGCAGTTTTAGGTTGCCTAATGTGTTGTAGTAATGAGTGTGCTTTACATCGTTTTGTTTAATATTGCTGTTGTTATTTGAAATCACTCTTGGTTACACTCATCTATTGTTCTGTATGTGTTCCTTTAAAGAAATGCACAGTTAGCTGGTGATATTTTATGTTTAACAATGATGAATCAACCAAGCAACTCAGGTTTGTCAAATGCATAACTGCTTACTTATCATTCTATTCTTATAATTAAATTTTCATGCCACAAAGACTGCACCATCCACACCAAACGACGCAAGCAACACATCACATGTGCAGAGCGTATAATAATCTTTGAGTTTTGGGCAGACAGTATTTGGACCAGGCCCTCACGTAATAACAGCACGAAACATGAGCACTTTCAGGGATTGAGCTAACTTGCCGACCATTTGTTTTAAATGAGTTGACTGAAAACAAAATTGTTGTTATTGTTAGACGTAGAAAAGTTTTCATAATTCTTTATTAATTGAAGTTGAATGGTTTTGAAAGAAAATTTTTTGACGGTTACAAAAAGTGTTTTATTTTAATTGTTTAATAAGAGTTTTTAATTATTTGGGAGCTATTCATTTGCTTCCTGGCGCAAAATTCTATAAAACTTCCATGAATATGATACTCATTCAAAAATATAGAACAGATAAAGCTTTATATATTTTTTTTTCAATATCTTCAGATCACATGTGTAAATCATTTGTAAACTTTCAAGTGTACTTGAGACTAGAGAACAGAATGGACATGGACTAAAATGAGATAAAAATGTAAAAACATGTTTACAATACAACACTAACACTCGACTCAGATATTTAAGATATTTTGATTGAAGGGGGGTATTTTTGTTTGCCTGTAGTATATCACGTTGTTGTTATGCACATAGATATTGTTTGGAATTGGATTCATCTATAAAACTGGACGTAAATGAATGACCAGTGACCAGCCCAAATTCATTCAGCTAATGATTGAAATAAAAATTGATGTTTTCATTGCAGCTTCCAACAAGCATGCCTTCGAATCAGACACATACAGCATATTTATATTTCACCAGCTACTCAACCACATCGTTACACAGGTTGGCTACCTTTTTTTATTTTTCAGTAATCCAGTGACCTATATTCAGCAAATAATTATTTTTCTAAAGTTGCATTTTGTTGTTATTGTACTTATTTCTAAGAGTATTAAACTGGACATGTCATTTCATAAAAATAAAAAATTTAAATAAGTGATTGATCAAAATGGTAAATATTGAAAGGTTGGATCTGTACTGTGGAACCACAAGGAAGCTTCCTTCTTCTTCCTCTTCCAGAGCCTCAACAAATTTTATGTGCACGACATCTTTGAATCATTTCAATATTTTGATTACACGTCATTCAATTTTGGTTAGTTCGTAGAGTTGCGTTTGTGAATATCAGCGGATGCATTTGATGGGTTTTTGTTTGTGCATCATAATGTTGATAGCAATGATGATGAAGAATATGATATGGATTATCACGATGATTGTAAAGATTGCTGGAGAAGCTATTAAAAAATCAAATTGTGTTGTCTGCAAAGCAAGACCTTGATGTATTAAATAACATAACTGAATAGTACAGATTGTGAGTTATTGGGATTGTGAGTCAATTTTAAACAATTTTTTGTTAGGAGTATATATTAAATAAATAAGTTAGAGTTTATTATCTAAATTGTTGAATTTATTGTTCGTGCAGAAATTGACATGTAGGTTAAAAGGTTGTCAGCAGTTAGATATGTGCTTTGATTGTATTTATTTATGATTGTTCACGTACAGCTCACCATGCGTCTTTGAGGCCAAGCTTTGCATTTGCATGTTTATGTAGACAGAGATATTAATGATATGCGTGCTGTATGTGCAGATGAATAAATAAATTGATCCGAGCAAGTTGAGTGGATCAACTAACATCTGATATATTATATTTGTTTAGTTCAGGCTGAGTTATTTATTCATTTTACGTTTCACTCTTTTATGTATGGATCTGAGAAAACAATAGGACTTTTATTTCTAGGCTTTCGTTGGCCATTTTTTTTATAAAGTCTAAAAATAAAAAATTCATTTATTCAGAAACATTTTCAAAAGAAGAGTCAGAGCAGTCGAAGAAGGGATTGTCGCCATGCAAGCCTTCTATCCTTCAAAACGTCATCATCAACTGGGTGGTGGGAATCATTGATCAGAACAAAAAAATGATCTCATTTTCAGAGTATGCTCATTTCTTTTTGTTCTTTTTTTCACCGGTCTTTAATGATTATACAAAAATAATTTGCATTAATATTTTACAGTGAAAAGTTTGGCATTTCTATTGAAAAGATTTTCATGGAACTTCAGCAGCCCTTTAAGAGAGGAGGGCTTGGAAGGAATAGCACAGAACCACACAGAGATTTTAATTTTAATCTACAGTCTCAATCGTCATCAACCGTTCTTCCTAACAATAATTTAAAAGTGACATTCTCGACGCATAACGAAATGCAGAGCACTAGCAGCAATGTTACAGGTGGAAGCAGGAAAAGTAACCTCATCAAGTCGAACATCACCAGCATCAAGGAGGCCACAAACAACAGCAGTAACTGCTCCAGTCAAGATAACAAAGAAAATAAAGATAAGGAGATTAGCAGTCACCCCCACAGCAGCAGCAACAACAACAGCAGCAACAACATTGGCAGGAAGTCAGGCTTCATGTTCACACACGATGAGAAAATGATGGTTCAGAGAGTTTTGTTCTCCTGCAAGCACAACTTGAACATCATCTTCGAAATATTTCATCAGGTATCTTTTTTCATATATTTCGTTTGTTCAGTTCGGTTGTTATTTCAAGGAATTAAAATATCTGCAAAACATATGTGCTCAATTTTTTACACTTTTACAAACTCTTTCTTAATTATGAAATTATATACGGATGTCATCTGCTAAATTATTTTTACAAAGTGTGAATCAGCTAACAAAATTTGTTGAAAATGTTGTTTAATTTGCTCAGTTTAATATAAATAAATTAATTTTTTATTACGTGGTTAAACGTGGATAAAAAATTGTGCACCACCATTTGTAGGCTTTTTTGAATTCGGTTGGGCAGATAGACAACATTAAGCAGGTCTTGTTTATATACAAACTTTGGATCAAGGTGAAAAAAATTTTTTTCATTGTTTTGTGTGTGAATGCACTTGCACAACTCATCACTTGTTCTGTACCTATCATCTGTTTCGTGGGTTATTAAAATCATCTGTTTGGCCTTCATTTCCTGGAGTTATGTTTGCTTGTTTTTGCCAAACATCGCATCACAATCAACATCGTATTATCTTCAATGTTGTTTTCCTCAATGATAAATATGTTCAGTTATGTGGGGTACTGTTTCTTTTCTTCAATCCGTCTAACAATTATTATAACACCTTTTGATGTGATGCGACCTAAATGCTTAAAATGAATGAACATCTCCCTCGCCACAGGATCAACACAGACCTTTTTTCATTGAAGAACCAGAACATTCGTTGTCATCATCGTCATCTTCTTCATCATCAACAACTCCGAGTCCGCTTGTACTGCCGAATGTGTCGCTATCATTGAGTGATGCCAACAAAACAAAAATGACAAATGCAGAGGAGCTCTCCATCCTGTTGTTGGATGACGCTTGCAAGTTGGGCAAACAAAAGCTGATCCAAATATTCGTCTGTCAGTCTNGTAATCTCTTCCTCACCGATTGGAAGTCTCTTCATAGCAAGTCTAATATTCCCAATGGGGAGAAGATTCTTAGTGAACAGGCAATTTTTTTCACTCATTAATTTTACAGCGTTTCAAGTTCTTTAATAAAAATTAAGTGAATGTCTGGTTAATATTACTTCAGTAACATCTGCTAGCCATCATTTTATTTCATTATATTAGAAGTTTGAATAAACATCTGATCAATTTCATCTCACTGGTCTAGATACTTATGTACATATACATGAAAAAATATATGCAAATATAAATACATACTTAGATACATACATTAATAGGTACATACATTCTCGCACAACACACATACATATATTCACTCACATACACACATACATACATTTATACATTACATACATATATATACACACACGCACACATACACACACGCACACACACACACACACACATACATACATGCATATGCATGCATACATACAGATTGACATGTGTCGGAGAACAATTAACACATATAGGTTCATTGTGATGAATCATTCCATGAAGAGAAGTACTTGGTTAGCCTAGTTAACATGTTCATCTTCTCCATGCATTCTTATTTGAATTTATACTTGATGTATTTTTTGAACTCTCTTTTGCCACACAAAAGTATTTTGTTAAATGTACACTTAAGTTTTATCATTAGTCAATATTTATTTTATTCAACAGTCTTTTGTCTGCGTATGGGAATTAAATTGTGTGTTGAAATGGCTTGTAATGAGATTAAAGCATTGTTTTGATATATTTTAATGTGCTTTCAATATGAGTTATGAATGTTTCAATTAAGAGTACTAAAGTTTAAATAATATTTTCATATCACACCACACTGGACAAGGCCAGCCTCGATCTGGTCCATGCACGCTTTCGATATTTTTGCTAGTAATTAAGTTTCTGGTAAAGTTACCACTACTAACCTTGCTCATCAACTCAGCTTGAACTTGTGCTAATTACTTTAATCAATATGAAGCGTGAAATTGATTTTGTAACAATAGGACATGCCTATTGAAGAAATTGCTGATAATATCAAATCACATGATCTCTCCAGCCAATGAGGAACTGCTTCCTGATGACGTCATCAAGATGGTTGCCGAGGTTTGTTTACATAATTTTACCTTACAACTTGAAAATTGGTAAAATTTTTATTTATCCATCGATGCAATGATCGAATCGTTCACTTCATCATTCCACCGAATGATTAGACGTTGATGGTGACGTTCGTGCGTGCGTGCCTGCTGTCTCAGGTGTCCGTGGGGGTGTGGGACATGATGTTGTCGACCATGAAGTCGCTGCTGTCTGTCAACCAAGTCATGCAGCAGTGGGCTGTTAGTTAGCATTCATCTTACACGTACAACTATTTAACGTTGCCAGAAATTTCATAATTATAATGTGCAAATTATGAATTTAAAAACCTACCATACCGCAATGATAACAGTCTGCGTTGGACATGTTGACGAAGACGTTAGCATTTGTGGTCTACAAAGTCGATTTAGCGGCGTTGAGCAGCGAGTCCACGAAAGGTGAGAATGGTGTAAATGAGAGCAAGATGCGATTCAAAAAAAGTATGAAAAGAACTGCCAGACAACAGCATGCAAAAACAGGTTTGTTGTGGGGATTGGTTGGTTGGTTGGTTAGTGTGGTTCTGCATTCTGGTTTGTTTGTTTTTTTTTGTATGAATATTTAGTAATATTATAGAATATGTGTTCATTTTATAATTTTTACTAATGTATTTTATCATAAATTGAAGTTTAAGTTTTGTGAACACAGCTTTTTTATTTTTTCTTTCTATTTTTTAACGTCAAAAATAGGTGTACCGTCAACAAAAACGCCTGTAATAACAACAGCAGCAGCACCAGCAACAAAAACAACAACAGCAATTGCAACAACAGCAACCGCAAAAGCAACGAAATCAGATCTTTCAACAAACATCAACATCTCCGAATTTAACTCCAACCCAGCAACTTTGCATGCAACTGTCAAGAGATCATTGTTATCAATAGCTCAACCCCTCTTGATCAGACAAACACAGACAGCCCACCAACCTCCATTATTAAAACAGTCACCCATACAACAATCACCTTCCTCTTCTCTCTCCTCATCACCACGTCTGTCTCTGAAACAAGAGGCACTTCATTCATCATCACATCAAACAGCTGATTGTTCTTCATCATCTTTGACATCATCTTTATCATCATCGGGTGCCGAATGCAACAGGCACAGCGTCATATCTGCCTCATCTGTCTTTGACGTTGATTGTACATTTTCCCCTGACGAAGTCAATCAACTAACCAACTTCATGTTAAACAACAACAATAACAACAGCAGCGGCAACGATAGCAACAGCAGCACTCTTAATGGCTGCAATGAAGGAGTACGTATGGACGGCAACGACGACACAAACATCGTCGACATCAACAAGGTTCATCAGACGAATTCACTTGATGCTAATCTGATCTCAAACGATGTGAGGAAGAACATTCGGCACGATGATAATGGTGGTGATGACGACGACAAGGGAGAGTTAGTTGGTGATGTAAGTTACTCAGATAGTGACCTAACCATCAGATCATCATCCAACTTTTCCATCAACGACAGTCACCATCACAGTTACCACATCCTTAATGATATCAACGACTTTGACGAGTACACGAGTAAGACGGATGATGATGCCCACAGTCGTGATAAAGATGACGGAGACACCTATGTTGATAGCAATAGTGGTCCTGATTCTTCTGTCGACCTCTCAAAATGCAACGATAAGGATGACGAAATGAGTGACGACTTGAGTGATTTGAAGAGCTGCTTTCCATCCCTCCAATCAGATACCAGTACAGTTACATCAACGTCATTGTCAACAACGGTCGCCACAACAACGTCATCAACAACAACAACGTCATCAGTAACATCAGCAACAACAACATCAGTAACATCGACAACAACAACATCCTCAGTGACATCAGCAACGTCAACAACAACATCATCAACAACATCATCAACAACAACATCATCATCAACAACATCATCAACAACTAAAGCACCAAAGGCATCTTCACTAGCATCAAGCAATCAAACTCCCCTTGTACTTTTCACCTCATACCAAACCTCTCTATCCCCAGGTCTCAGTAATTATTGTGTACCTATACTTTTTAAACAATCAAATCTTATTTTCATCGTTTATTGTGCTGTTAAAAATTATTTTTTTCAACATTGTTGCAACTTTTGCAGACTGGCAGTGTAGTATTTTTCCCTAAGATTCAACTCATTTTTGTGTTATTGCGGTCATACAACGTTCATTTGGCAGTGTTATGTTTGTTACAACTTTGTTACTATAATTAAATCACATGTATATAGAACATAAAATCTTAGATGTATAACAGGTTTGTGTTGGGACATCTTGCTAATTGCAACGTTACGCAATACAATCAGTGATAAATACCAATAAATAAATGAATGTTTGAAAATTATCAATTAATCTTATACGCAATTTGCTAATTTCTTATTGAGTTTGAACCTTTTTAATGATTGTGTCACTTTTAACGATGATGATGATGACGATGATGATAAGCATGTTCGTAATGATGATGAGATGGTTGTGATGTGGATGATTATGATGGCAAAAATGATGACAACTACGATGACAGTAGCTTATAAAATAGCTTATGAAAGCTGATGATGATTTTATTAATTTTATTATCTGTTGTCCTTTCCCAGCGAATGATGACAGCAGCGGTACTGATTTTGCATCGAAACCGCTGAACGAGGTATGCCTACATTCATTGCTGTCAGTGGCGTCACTAGGGGGGTGCGGGGGGTGCGGACCGCACCGGGTGACACCCTCACAGGGGGTGACACCAAAATATCACTGTATATGTTTTTATGTCCCTCCATGAAATTATTCTTATCATTAATTCAGCCTAACCCGCCCAGCGCCCAGAAATGTATTATGAATAAAATTTTTTTCGTTCAAATCATTTTTGTATTCGACATTTATACCATTCAAATTCGACGTCCGAATTATTAAGCGCCGCGGCCGAGCACATTTAACTTGTTCGTGTTTATAAATTTTGCTAAGAATGCTGTATGTCTATGGGGTGTCATGAGAGGGGTGACACCATGAGTTACCGCACCGGGTGACACCAACCCTAGTGACGCCACTGATTGCTGTTGCACCATTTTTAAGTTGTTACAGTATTAGTGCGTTAGTTTACCATTGTATTTTTATTTGGGAAAGTGTGAAACATAAACCTTTTCTTAGAAATTACCAATATTGTAATATTTTAATATATTCCTATTGATTCTTATTATATTAAATTTTCTCTTTTCTTTACAGAATCATAACAAGAAAGATGTAGTTGAAAGAGAAGTTTCTACAGGTTTGACATTGTGTCCTGATAAATTTAAGATATTTTACGTCATGTTAAGAGAGGGTTTCATTTAACGAAATAACTTGATCATTTTGTTATCACCATAAGAATTCTTTTCATAATCATTGTTTAATTAGTATCCCATCATCATTCATTTAATTAAACTATCAATTATTTGAACTGCAAAATCATTTTTACCATGCTAAATCATTTTTGATCAGTTTTTATGAAGGGTTTTTAATCTTTTTTTTCAAGTTTATGTTTTGTTTGAACCATTTATTATTTATTCTTTCAACTTATCTTGCATCTTCTTTAGCACAACAGAATGCAGCTCATTTAATTTTATCATTTTCACGCTATCTGTTTCTAATTCTTTCTCTTGTGCATATAACTCTACAATACGTTTTTGTTTTTTAATTTTATGCATATTAAAAGCATATTCTCCCTGAATGTTATCTATTTGATTGCCATCGATATGTACCACAGTTCCCACAGACTCTTCACTGTCATTATACCATCATTTTAATCATCATTACAATCACATTTTCGATAATCATCGGTATAATCACAACGGATGACCTCAATATTGTTACGTTGGTAACTTGGTAACTAACTCATTGTAATGTAACAATGATCCATGCTGATAAATTGTTGGTTGATGACAATCAGATGAGATGCCTGTGGATCTCGACCTGAAGGACATGAGTGACGGGAAGATGAATGAAGATGTCTTCATAAGCACTTGGGTGCGTCTGGTCGGCCTAGCTGGAAACATCAGCAGCCTCCCTGATGCAGATGTTCAGTCCGTGGTCATTGGCAATCTGAGAACCATCAGTGACTCCATCATCAAGGTTGCTCGGACCATTTCATCTCATTGCTGCTCTATTATCTTCTATATATTCAATATATATCAGTGTACTGATTTAATTATGTGTTCATAATATCTATAACGTACGAAACACTGCAGATATTTTTGAACTCTGAAAGTGAAGTTGACAAGAGATTTCCTGTCCTCATTTTATCTCCTTGGTTGTTTCAGGTGATTCAATATTTTATTCATTCAGCTTATTTTCTATCATGTTTAATGACTGCTCAATAAATGCCTGAATTTTCTCATCTTACAAAATAAGTTAGTTTACCTTCTATGTAACGTATTTACATTTTATAAACAAGTTAAATCTATTTTTCTGGCCTGCAGATCATAAGTTTGTCAGATAAGTATTTGAAGAGCAAGTTGTCATCGTACATGTTGATGTGTGACTACCTCATTCACTTGCAGCATCATCATCTGCATCTCCATTATCTTGCCTACTTCTACTTTTCCTTGCACCTTGGACTCAACTCAAACCAGAAGGTTTGTTTGTTCTTTCGTTCGTTTGTTCATTTGTTCGTTCGTTTGTTCGTTCGTTGGTTTAATTTTTTATTAGCTTTTTTATGAATTTGTATTAGGCGTTTACAATTATAATTTCTAGTAAAACTTTGAAGAATGAATAGAAGAAAGTGTAATTATTTCATAATATTTACAGGACATAATGAATACGTTGGTGCATCAGTTCTCCAGTCAGATCCTCTCAATATCCCATCCATCCTTTTCCATTCTTATTCTAGACTTTATCAACGCCGCCACACAAGTTCTTCAGGAGTTCAGAGGCTCTGCTAAGAAGCAGGTTGTCGTTTTTTTTATGATCGATTCTGTTTTATGTTGCTGTAGTAGTTTTCGTATGTAAAACAATTAATGCTCTTTTATTTTAAGGTGACTTTAGTTCATAGAAAATGATATCAAATGATATACGTAAATTACTTGAATAAATAGCGATGTTGGAAGGAATTTTTTATAAATGCTTCTTTGAAGGTTCCTGTGAAAGAGTCGATGAGCATGTTGTCATCGTGCGTCTGCCTCCCTAGTCAATCCAGCACTCTCAATGTTATCGATTCAACAGTGCCTTCCATTCACATACAAACTTACAGTCCGAAAACGTTACAGGTTTATAAAAACTTTTTCATTTTATAAGGAATCAATTTATGGAAACATGAATATTTCTTACTTTTCAAGATTTTATTTTCATTAGTTCATTTGTTTTTGTGCAGAATCACGTAGTTAGTGTCTTGATGTCTTGCATGCAGTATGTCGATGAACAGTCTGTGTCTGGGTTAGTTTACAAGCAACATATTTCATATGACATTCCCATCACCTTATAAATATATATGTGTGTGTGTGTGTGTGTGCGTGCGTGCGTGCCCGCGCGTATGTGTCTGTGTGAGTGTATCACAATCTATATTAATTAATGACACACCACACTCAGAACCTGCTTTAAATAATATTTATGAAAACTTGCTTGCTTTGAATGATTTGTGGACATGTTTGAAAGATGAATGTAAAGTTGGAAGATATATTTTTTAATTCGTAAATCGATGAAGTATTATTGAAATCCAAATGTCATTTTTATGAAAAAGAGCATTGCATTTGAAAGGTATGTGAACATATGCGGGTTGAGTATCTACCTGTACGAGCAGATGAGTCATCAGGTACTGGATGATAAGCTGATTGAACCCGTCCTCAACGTCCTACTCCATGTTATTAATGTTGGTTATTCTTTTAATTCACGTCTACAAATTACAATTTGAAGCACTTTGTTTTTGGCTCTTAGCTCCTTCTTAATTCCAGTAGTCTTATTGTTTGAAGTTCTTTATTGAACAATTTGTTTCAGAAGTTAAAACTTAATACTCATTTTCAACCGTTTCTTTCTAAACAATTTCACTCCAAATTTTTTTGAATGAGATCTTTTAGATTTTTTAGCATTTAATTATGTGGCTAATGTTCCGTCATGTGTTAAATTTGAATAGTTTTCATGATATATGCCAGTTGTATGCATCCGCTATCCACCCATCTCTATGCTTGTATTCTATTCATATCGTACTCGCACTATCGTCGTTTGTTAGGTCTCGAATGTTTGTTATAAAAAGCATTGAATAATATAGTTTTAATGTCTACCAGTGTGACGACGCCAGCACTCAGCGGTACAAAACTTCGGAATGCATTGTTGTTGTGCACTTCCTAACTGCTCTTGTGAAGCACCATTCCTGGATGATTGTGCACCACAAACAGTTCGTCGAGAAGATGATTGAAGTTTGTTTGTTTGTTTGTTTGTTCATTCTTCGTTTGTTTGTTTGCTTTCTCGTTATCTTTTAATTAAAGATTAAAACAAATATTACGTTTGTTGGGTTGAAAGTTTGAACAAAATCAAAGTTTGAATTAATGTTGTTTATTTCTTTTACAACAGCACCTCATAAGTTATTTGGATGTGTCAGTTCAATCAAAAACATATGCAAATTCTAAAAGTTCCAAGGTAACAAATTGTGATTGCATTCTAGTTTTATAACTTTGTATGATCTGATTGATGTATTTGATATAGTTGATTGTAGTTGATGTATTTATTGAAGTCATGTGATTTGTAAATATGGTTAGTGTGATGTTTCATTATTTAATATTGTTATTCTTGAAACATTTTTGCATATTTACTGATTTTGAAAATGAAAAATTCTCTCGATTGCTTGCAGTTGCTTCATTCCGTAATGTTCTGTCTTCTGCATTGGTTCCTTGTTCTACCCACTGATTTCCTCATAAACAAGAACTTCAATGATGACGATGATGATGATGACAACATCTCTGACAGCATCCTGAAAACTGACAGCTTGAGAAATGATGCTTCCGACAAGTTGACAACATCTGAACCATCGCCTCGAGTGGATGAGGATTTGTGCAAGCCAGTGACTGCCACGTCTACCTTGTTGGCTAAAATGTTTAATGTTGGTTCAATTGAGTTCTTTTCTATTGATGCAGTGTTTTGAATGATATCTGTTTTATCGAGATGTTTTTATCACTTTCTGATAATTATTAAAGACTTGCTTCTAAAATTAGGAACGTTGCAACTGGTTGTTTTGAAAATAGTGTGGTTGAAATTAAAAATATTATTGAGAGCAGGATTTTGAAATATATTTCAACAATATATGTATAATATATTGATTTTAATGCGACGTACTCTGACTGACACATGCGTTAACTTGAAGGTTTTGGCAGCTGCAACAAGAATCTCTCAATCCTCACCTCTCGTTCACTCACTGAGTTTGGACATTTCCTCCCTCGTTCGCTCGTCAAAGATCTCATCGCAGACGCCGTCAACACCACTCACACCACTGTCGACATCAGCTGACTGCTATGCAGAGAGTGCTAATAAGAACGAAAGTTTTGAACAAGCGAGCAACAACCCGTCCAAAGATGAGGATGACAATCATCATTTGCTACTTACATCAGAAATGGTTGGTTGGTTGGACTATTGATGACTTGATTGATCGTTGGTCAGCTGTTTGTTGATTGACTGTTTGTTGGTCAGCTGTTGTTTTGTCAGCTGTTTGTGTTAGTCGGCTGTTGGTTGGTTGGCTGTTTGTTGGTCTTGGCCAACCGTTTATTGATTGACTCTTTTTTCTCTTCGGTCCTTTGTTTTTCATGAATTTTTTTTTCTTCAAGTTTTGTATGATCTGAAATTGACTGTGGGACTGTGTGTTGGCTACGGCAGATAAAGTATGTGGTTTCGGACAGGGGTTTCGGAAGTGGCGGCAGAACATATAAAAGCGAGTGAGGTGATAGGAATTGAAGTTATGATGAGAATTGCTAACAGCATGTTTGATGATGAAGGTATACCTGAGGATTGGCGACACAGTGTGTTGGTGCCGTTGTATAAGGGCAAAGGAGATGTGAGAGATTGTGGGTCATATAGGGGTGTGAAATTGCTAGAGCACGGAATGAAGGTAGTGGAGAGGGTGCTTGAGAGGAGGTTGAGAAATATGGTGACAGTTAATGAAATGCAGTGTGGGTTTATGCCTGGTAGGGGAACGGTGGATGCGTTGTTCATGGTGAGAATGTTGCAGGAAATTTATAGAAAGAAGAAACGAAGATTGTACATGTGTTTTGTGGATCTAGAAAAGGCTTTTGATCGAGTACCGAGGCAGGTCATTGAATGGGCGTTGAGGAAGAAAGGAGTGAATGAGAGATTTGTTAAAGCTGTGATGCAGCTGTATGAAGGGGAAAAGACAAAGGTGAGGGTTGGAAGGGGGATGTCGGACGCTTTTAGTGTTAAGGTAGGAGTGCATCAAGGATCAGTGTTATCACCGTTTCTGTTTGCAATTGTGATGGATGTTGTGTGTAGAAATATAATGGAGGGGTTGTTATTTGAGATTTTGTATGCAGATGATTTAGTCTTGATGGCTGATAGCATGGAAGAATTGCAGTTAAAATTTGACAGATGGAAAAGTGTTATTGAAAAGAAAGGGTTAAAAGTTAATATTGGTAAGACGAAGGTAATGGTGAGTGGGGGAAGGTGGGGAGCGAGTGATAAGTAAAATAGACCCCTGTGTGGGTATGTGACAGGAGAGTGAAGGCTAACTCGGTATTGTGTATAGGATGTCAGAAATGGGTGCATAAGAGATGTAGTGGTGTGAGGGGGGCACTGAAAAAGGTGGAAGGCACGTTCAAATGTAAGAAATGTGTTCATGGTGTGATTAATAGGACGGACGCAAGGACGGGGTTGAGTGGTGGTATTGAAAGAGTGGAAAGCTTTGTTTACCTAGGGGATAAGCTGAACGCGAATGGAGGATGTCTGAGCGCAGTTACGGCTAGAGTTCGTGTGGGATGGATGAAATTTAGGGAACTGGGTGGGGTATTGTGTTGAAAGAAATGGTCAGTGAAGATGAAAGGTACGGTATATAAAGCATGTGTGAGAGCAGCGATGGTATATGGTGGTGGAACTTGGGTGTTGAGGAGAGAGGAGGAAAATGTACTGCTGAGGGCTGAAAGAGCTATGGTGAGGATGATGTGTGGGGTTAAAGTGAAGGATAGGAAGAGTAGTACAGAGCTGATGTCAATGATGGGACTGAATGAGGACATTGTGACATTGATAAGGAGATTGAGATTGCGGTGGTATGGGCATGTGTTGAGAAGGGATGAAAGGATCGGGATTAGGCGAGTATTGGAGTTCGAGGTTAAAGGAGTGGTAGGAAGGGGTCGTCCGCGATTGGGATGGAGAGAGCAGGTGGAGAAGGACAGGGTGAAGGCGGGGTTGCGTGATACTGAGGCGAGTGACAGATGTGGATGGCGTCGAGGGATATTTCGGTTTCATCATAGGTAGCCAAACGGCAACCCCCGATCTCGGGGAAAATGTCGTCTAAACGTGTGTTGTTGTTTGTATGATCTGAAATTGTTCCTGCCATATTGAACTGTGAATTTTTCGTTTGGAATATTCACATGCAACTTGCATAATAATAATTATAACATGACTTGCATAATTCATTACATCTATTAATATGTCACTTTATTATTTATTTTTCATTGCATGTTTCATGTCTTCCACGGCACCTGCAGATTGCTCAGCAATTTGTCTTTCAGATAACGTTTAGATTAATCTATTGACTTGTAATCGCGTTGAATCATCGTCATCATTGTTCTACATCATCGTCATCAATATTCAATATCATCGTCATCACTGTTCAACATCATCGTCATCACTGTTCAACATCATCGTCATCATTGTTCAACATCATTACACATGAAGAAGACACACAACATTACTACGTCACCATCATTATATTTTCCTCTACAGGTTCGATATCATTTGCTGAACAATCTCGACACCCGTCATAATATTGACATGGAATGTCATGTAGCAGTTCCTACTGCACTCAATGTACACAAGTCGACAAGAGATAGAAGCCATCCACTTGATGATCGCTTCGAGGACAACAGCAGAGTCGTTAGTAGAGGATTCAGTTAATTAATAACATTTTTTGTTGTTTTAATTAACATTTCTTTATTTCGTTCTAATAAGTTTTGGCGCTTTATATTTGGGAAAACCAGTTAGCTACAGTGGAATATGTTGATTTAGCTTTCATGTGATCGTGTTTTTGATCTGCCGATCACTCAAACGTTTAATGCATGCTTGTATAGTAATACTAAAACACACGAGTATTCAGTTTATTTTTTACTGTATTTTTAATATTGGTGATGGGAAATATTGTTGTCGCCGCTGAATTCAGGTTATGATATGGAACTATAAGAGAATTGTCTCTGTTCATCCTTTGTCGGATTTCATTCCATCATCATCACTACCAATATCTTCGTCAACAACAACAACAACAACGTCATCATCGTCATCATCATCATCATCATGCGTATTAACAATTAACGATCTCACTGGCTCATGGACATGGTACTGTCGTAATGTTGATGGTGATCATGTGCATGGCAGTCATGATGATGATGATGATGATGAAGCGGGTAGCGATAATGTCGTGAATGGTATCGGTAAAAATGTTTGCGGAAGTTTGGAAGGTGTTGAAGGTGGTTTCGAGGCGAAGCAACAAAACGCCAACATGGCGAGCAATATTAGCGGTGCAAGGTCTGACGAAGAGATCACGAGATGTCAGGATGCAGGCAGCCATAACCCATTCAATGACATCAACAATAATGTTGACGCCAGGAGGGCTCATGTGTGCAGTGATGATAAGGAAACAGATGTTCTAAATATGGTTATTACCCAAATTATAACCACTGATTAAATCACTTCTGTTACTTTATTTATTTTTCTTTGCATGCTTATTTGTTGCATTTTATAATGTGCACGTGCTAAAGGAATAATTTTGGAGAGAGAAAAGATAGAAATATATATATATATATATATATATTTAATTATTTATTTGTATATTTGTTTATATATACGTACAGATGTTGTCCTTCATATCTGTCACAAGTCCTGAATGTTGTCACTTTGAAGAATCTCACGATCTCACAGATCCCTTCCCTTATCCTTCACTATCTCACTGCCAGGATGACATATATGAGGCAGTCTGCATCCAACACAAAGGCACATTGTCAGCTGTTCACTCTATGAAGGATGACATCTTCCATGCTAACTGCATCTTTGGGTTCGTTTCTTCATATATCCATGATACAAATTGTTTGGTTAATATTTTGTCCTTTTTTATGCAACTCTGACATGTGCAGAGCCGCTTACATATTATTCTGTAGTTATATATAGTTAAACTTTCGTACCATAGAGGCTTTAATTTTTCGACAGACAGTATTCGATTTTTGTTATCTCACAATAGAAATGTAAGTTATGGTAGCACTTCTACCAACTGAGCTAGCTCGCCAATGTTTGTTATGGTTTCTTCTGTTTTATGTCATTCAATTGTGTAACTCAAATTCACATACATTCAACACTTCAGTGTAGAGAAGAAAAAGAAGAATAAAAAGAGGCTTGAAAAGTCAAAAGGTTTTCACAAGTTGGCTTCATGTCTAGGTTTCTTCCATGTTAAAGGAAGGTTGGTTGCTTTTGTTTTCGCTTTCTTTTTAATAACTAACATTATTTCTGGACACTGTTCTTTACCAGGCCATCTTTAATATCATTAATTTAGCCAAATTTATATGGATTGATTTATTTGGCGCAATTCATTTCATTTATGTTATTCTTATTTATCCATATGATCTTCTTCATATCTGCATCAACATGGGGATGAATGCCTTCGTTCGTTCAAGCATCCTCTACTGTTTCCAATGTTTCTTATAGACTTTGAAAGAATTTATTTTTATGACGATGATGAAGATGACATTGATACAATTTGATTTTTGTAGAACTGAATATGAATTCCTGAGAGAAGGTGAAAAATTGAAGAGGGAACTGAAGCACCTGTACAATCTTAAGTGGTCTGTTGAATCAGTTGATCTTAATTTCAATTCCTTCGTTAACTTATTTATCAAATTGAACACTTGGCATTTGATGTTAATGAAAATATTAAGTAACGATACAATGTTGAATGGCGACCAATCATAACATGCAGTCTTGAGACCCACAAAATAGCAGTTATATACATTGGCGAGGACCAGTATGATAAGATGAACATCCTTTCAAACGAAACCGGAAGTTATCTTTATGATGATTTTGTTTCCAGACTTGGAACCTTGGTCAGTTCATTCAATTATTTTTTGTATTTTATATTTGCTCTGTTGTAATCATTCTCATCTGATCGGGTTCTTTGCAGGTGAAGTTGAAGGAGCACAAAGGATTCGCGGGCGGGCTGCTCAGGAATGGTCAGAATGGAATTGTTGCGCCTTACTATTGCACTCCATCTCTTCTGCAGGTCATCTTCCACGTTTCTACGCTTCTACAACCCTCCAGCGAATTTTTTCAAAAGGTTAAAAATTAAATTAAGTTGTCAAGATGATGCGAAATGTTTTTTCTGACCATCATAAAAGGGCTTTGCTAACTCTGTCTTTATTTTTTTAACATCTAGTTAGATGCAGCTCATAATGAAGCTACACTGCCGACACAAGAAGAAATATGCGCAATGAAGGTTGGTTGTCATCACTCATTTGATCAGCTGACCATTCTGACATCATAATTTTTTGCGTCACCCGCCTTACAAATTGATTACGTCATTACTGATCCCGACACCATTTTCAGTGTATCAATTCAAAATAAACGCTGTTGTTGATTTTGATGTCTTGTTTTGGTTTTTTTAATGCATAACTTGTAGTTCTTTTGTTACCTGCAAATCTGACTTTCCGTTGATCTGTAAATATTCAGATGAAACACATAGGCAACGATGAGGTGCACATTGTGTGGTGTGAGTGCAAGATGGAGTACTCTAGTGAAATCATACCCACTAAATTCGGTGAAGTCACAATTGTCATCTATCCTCTCTATAATGCGCTATTCAGCATACAAATCATCAAGAAGACCAAGGTTATTCATCTACTTTCCTTATTATATTATTATACTTTTTTACTTAATTGTTGATTGTACAAAAAACATCATTTGCAAAGGGTCAAAATTAACTTGAAACTAAAATAATTTTTGTAACAAATACGACTGAATGACTTATAAATAAGAGCTGGTGAAAACGCGGCATGGTTTAAAAGTTCACACAAACCAGTGTAACAACGAACGTTATCAAACCGTACCACTAACTAGCTAATTTATATTTCAATATTCATGTGTTCACCAGACGTGCATGTTTGGTCCTTTGTGTGACGGAGCTGTTGTTGATGGTCTGATTCTTCCTGACCTCATCCGACTGACCGCCATCAATGCTGGGCGGGCACTTCGAGAAATGAGGAACTTCTACCAAAACTTGTTAGCTTCTATCTTTTCCATATAATCATCTTTTTTTAGAAACTTTTATCTATCCAGAATATGGTAATAATTGGCCTATTCATCTATTTTCCTATAAAACCATAATTTTTTTGCTTGAAGTTATGAAGAAAGAAATAGTTGTTTGGAGAAGATAGCGAAGGAATGTTTGGAAAAAAGAACTTATGAGCACTTTTTATTCAACATCATCATGCCAGGTTACCAATTTGTATTAGGATCGTATCTTAATCCAACCAAATTCTACTCATGTTACTCAGCACTCCATGTTGTAAGGGCGAATATATAAAAACTGATGGTTTAGGATATCTTATAAATAGAATTTCTGATCCTTCAAACTGTTTAACTGTTTTTTTAATATTTTTCTCTTCTGCACTGGTAACACTCACTATGATTCATTTATGTTGTTAGCGAACAATCATTCACGGTTTCATAATTGATGAATTGAAGTTATATATTGATAAGTTATTTGCAACACGTGTTTATATATGCCAGTATACTTCAACGTACAATATTTGTTTGTTTTCTGTTCGTTCGTTTGTTTGTTTAATTGTTTGTCAGTATTTATTTTAAAACGTTTTAAAACATTCGCCTAATTGTGTACACATATTTTACGTGAAGGTACGAAGCAGAGTGCTGCATTAACGACATTGACAAATGTTCGTAAAACAAGTGCGTTCATTGAAGATTATGACGAGTCAGCTTCTAAAAGAAAGGAAAAATTACATAAAAGTTTGTTATTTAATGTTGAATTTTTTTTAAAAGTTATCGGAAATTTTTATGAATTTATAGTGGTAGGCCAATTAGAAATAGTTTTGACACCAAAGTCACAAAGGTTGATAGAAATCAAATGAGTAGTGAAAAATAAAATTTTTAATTTAAAGACATTAATTTTTTTATTTAGTTATTTAATTAGTTTAATTATTTTGAGAAGATTGTTTGTTTGTTTGTTTGTTCAGAAAAGCGTATTTAACCTCGCTCTGTTTTAAAATTTTCAACATTTCCACAGATTTCCTCCAATCATCAGGCAGCAAATCTGTGACTAAGAGGCATAGGTCCGAGTACATAGCTCCAAACTGGTTGAAATTAGACAGGAACAGTATCATCAACATCTACAATAAATAGTTATAATAATTCAGTGATTAAGTTTAACCTCATTAAGTTTTCTACTACGCACCGTCCTAGAAATAATCTGTATATACTTGGTATCTGTAATTTTTTATAAACAAGTTTTTATTCAATACTCGGTTGTTAAATAATAATTAACCAAATTCTTATGATTCAAATTAACAGTGTATTTCTCAATTTATTGTGTTTATGTAACTAGGCATCTTTTCTTATAAGCTGGCGGTTACACACACCATCATATTTATATATTTATTTATAAAATTTTATTTCTTGTCCGATTATTATTTTTATCGTGTATAAAATCACACTTTATCGCAAAATTAATATTTGGCATAATTTTCTTTCATATAAAGAGCATACTTAGCTATTAATCGATCACTTTTGACAAAGTAACTAATTACATGTATCTGAAATCTCTCTGTAGAATGTTTATTTTATTACATCTTATTTGAAACTCTCAATTGTTTCAACTGTTTTGTCATTTTTTTATCGTCTTGTAGTATGTACGTATCATTGTCTTTATTATTATTATTATAAACATAGTGCTGGTTTCGAAATGTGGAACAATTCAAAGCAGACTATTGGCTATAAAATGTTTTGCTAGAGATATTTTGGGCCTCCACTCAGATTTACAACCTTGCAGTATTTTTTTTTCTTACAAAAAGCGATTTTTATTCTCAGAAAAATTGTAATTACGTCCAATTAATAGACTCAATTCAGATGGTATTCCGGTGTCTCTAACAGACCATTTGCTTGAAACAACTTTGTTTCAAATACGTTTCATTATAGTAGTATTAGTAATTATCGATAGAAGCAACTTGAAATTTAACTTGCATATTGGCATTTTTCTTGTGACGCAACTTCTCTTGCCTTGTCTACGTCGCGTAATTGACTTCTGACGAGCACATGATTTCCATGTCTGTTTTAACAGAGTTCTGTAGATGTATGTATGCTTTTTCCGATCTGTTAGTTGCTCTAAAATTATCGCATTATAGCATTTTCAGGAAAGCAAGCCCATTGACGAAATTATTTTTATTAAGAAAAAATGATTTGCTAATCAGCATTGTATTTGACTTAAAATCCTGAGTACTTTTTTAATTTGGTTTGCCGTAAATCTCAGTTTCAAAATGAAAGCAATTTTCATTATTTTGTTTGTAAAAAGTTCTGCATTACCGATGTGATATTGACATAAAGATAAACTTTCAAGCACATGCATGTTCCTTAATTGTCTTTTAAACAGTGGGTCCCATTATTTTTTAACACGCTGTTGCTTTAAATTTTATTTTTCATACAGTTTTTAATTACTTACACGGGACTTGTTCCAAAACTAATTTTTTTTTAATTTGATTCAAATATTTTATAAACTGTAACTAGATACCAACATTTTTATATATTTTAAATAATTTTCAATGTTCAATTTTATTTGAATGTTTCACGGCATTGAACACACGTTGGTTTTAATGCCAATTATTTTAATTTGAATTAGTGTTCATACTTTGTCTTCCAATATATGTTACTTAATGTAATTTGACGAATTTTTCACGTTGATTTTTAAATTTATATCATTTTTATTTTTTGTTTCATCTCCATTCCTTTGGTACACCTTCTATCTAGATAAAAATTAATATATCAATCGATTTTTCAGTTTTCCAATCTTTTAAAAAACTTTCATATTTTAACACCAGTTTATAATGTAATTATGGATTGTTATAACAGTTTTATCTCATGAATTTTATTGATACCTAATTTACAAGATATTAATTAAACCCTCTACTTCAAAATAAAAGTATACGTGTGTGCAATGATTTAATATATCAACGGTCTTTGCAAAGGCATTTTGTAATGTTGCAGATATTGTAGCAATTATTATAAGTTTAAACCACTTTAGTTTGCTGACTGTAATAAATCCAATTTATGATTTTTAATAAGGCTTGCTTTCTATTCAAACTATCATTATATTTATTTCATTTAATCTATTAATACTTTTAAAACAATGAACTTGAACAAACATTGTCTTGCTTTTTTTTATGTTATTTACTTCAGTGCATCAAGTTTGTTATCTATATTTGTATATATATGTTTTCACTATGTACATATTGGTATAAATGAGTTCATTCATTATTTACAGTGATCATTATTTGTATTTCACACATTTTTTAAAAAATTTACAGAATTAAAAAATGCTGTACAAATTTCTAATTGAACAAACGTGTTACGTCCTTTGAATTTGGATCTGGAATTTACCTGAAATGAATAGGTTAACAAAAATATAGTTGTACAATAAATTAACGAATATAATCGAGATTATTTATTTAATTTGTACTGGTGGTTTGTATCTGGAATACGACGGTGACGTCAGTTCTTCAACTAGACATACAATGCAATGCTATACCCCAACACTGCATTCTTTAGCATTCAAATGCAAATTTGGGTTGATCTTTGGTGCAATTTCCAACATTCTAATGCATCTTATTGATCACCATGATCAATAAATGAAAACAAATTCTGCCAACGATTTCTTCTTATGACATTTTTTTTTATTACTGAACAACATTTTGAAATAATTTAATAAAAATTGTGAAGGATAAAAAAAACACAAAAGTTTAAAATAATTATAAAAACTTTTCAATTCAATAACAAAGCTGAAAGTTTATGATGGTATAGGCAAACAATGGTAAAAAAAACGAACGCTTCAGTACTAACATAAGGGCATGATGCTGACATCTGCTGTAACAATTGACAGAATTCCAAAGTTGGCCAAAGCTCCTCGTATTAGGCCACATGGAAATGCCAAGTACTAGATATATTTACAAATAACTAAATAAATATATTTTTATGAGTGTTTTTATATCTGTGTGGATAGTTTTTTATTACATTTCCCAATATTTCTAACCAAATTCTTGTCATCATTATTTATTTTATTAAAATTAAAATAATATACAGTTTTCCAATTCAATCTTGAGTGTATAGGGCCTATTTCGATTTTTCAATCATCTTCAGCACTTGATGCACATTTTATAAGCTTGTTGAATATTTATTATCAGATGTCTTTGCTCGATGAGTATTGATTAGGCTGGTCGTAAATCATAATGGTAGTTATTGTAATGTAAGATTTCAGCATTGTGGTCCAAGATTTGCCTACTAATTTTAGTTTTGTGTTTCTCTTTCATGTGATTCTTTATAGCGCCATTTTGTAAGTGCATCGTGAGTCTTCTCAATAGCTTGGCCGTCGTCATATCAATATGTTCAGAATTATGGTGCCCACACTCATCATTTAAACGAATATATTTAATGGCTATGATCCATTATCGATTCTGGCTTAATAGTGCAGTTGTTTTTCATCATGAGGGATGACCTTCATTGGTTGGAGCAGTATATTCGCAATTTAATACTATCGTTTTCGTTTGTTGCTCGGACGTTATTTTTTTATTCTTTTCACGATTTTTTTATCCCATTCGAAAGCTGTTGACATGTGGTTCTTATGATATATTACAATGTTATTTTTGTTGTTATTGTTAGTTGCATTGTTATTGTTGATGCTGATTTTTTATTCTTTGTGTTCTATTATTTTCTGGATTATGGAATTTTTATATCCATTATTAGTGAGTAATTTAGTGACTCTATCTAGTTCTGTTCTCTTGCTTCCTACATCAGAAGAGAACTCAAGAAACTTGACAATGATTTACATTTTACCGTTAAAAAATAAAAAAGTTATACAGGAAGCTAACTAAAGCGGAACATGCAATGATTTATGGTAGAATTCATACAATACTGTGTGTGTATATATATATATATATATATATATATATATATATATATATATATATATATATATATATATATATATATATATATATATATATATATATATATATATATATATATATATATATATATATATATATATATATATATATATATATATATGAATAACTGCTTAGTGAAGATAATAGATGAAAGACTGACTTTTGGAGCATGTTCTAAGTACTGTTTGCTGTTTGACATTAGTGCTAATAGTCGAAACTTATTCTCTTGTAGAACGAATATACCCTTTTTGTAAAATAGTATATGCAAAAATTTATTTTATAAAAATTAAATTACGATATATGATTTATCATGAAAAAACAACACTGAAATAAAATTAAATTGTTGAAAATTCAAAATTATTTACTAAGTTAGTAGCATACTTGATGATTTGTTCTCAGGTTGTCAATTTGTTTTTTGAACAAGACAGACCAAAAATCCTTGCATATAAACTTCATGATGTCAAGCTCTTCTTTAAATCTAGGAGAGTCTTTTGTTAATCTAGAAGCATAAAAATGATGTTTAGAGTAGATAGATAGGTGAGGCAAAATATATTATAAAAATAATAGATACCTTTCAACAATACTGTGTCCAACTCTAAATCCCAAAAGCTCTAACTTTGACAGACAAATATCCTGTCCAAAACAAAAATTGTAAAACTTTAATTAATAAATTAAGATTATCATATCTAGTTTTCAACAAGCAATATTAAATTAATTAATAGTTTAAAATTTTTAAATTTATTTTTAATTAAAATTAAAAAGTTAATCAAATAAATTAAAACATAAAAAGGGCTGCATAAAACACCAGATCACTACCCACATATGTATATGATATATTACATTATATATGTAGGTAGTGACTTGGTATTATATAATATAAAATTTGTATGCATACTATGTAATTGTAATGTAATAATTTCATAAGTACACAATCAATAACATGTCAAATACACACACAGATACACACACACTGAAAAAAAAAGAAAACAGTATTTTAAGTAAATTTGAAAAATTACTTTATCTAAATCAGTTTGCAGCATTGTGTCAACCATTTCCAATAATAAAAAATCGTACAGCACCTCGTCGGCCATGATCAAATATATTAAATTAATTTAACAGCCAAGCATAAAAATAAACCAAATTATTAGTAGAATTCCCTTTCATCCATATTTTTTTGAAGCTTTTACAAAAGATAGATATAATACGTTGTCTGCGACATAAATTCTATACCACTATTTTTGTCTCAGATATTTTTCATAACAAACACACAGTGTACAAATCGTTACAAATACACGTAAATTATACATAAATATATATATATATAAATATATATATATATATATATATATATATATGTGTGTGTGTGTGTGTGTGTTTGTGTGTGTGTGTGTGTGTGTGTATGCCAAGCTAACTTATAGAACCTTTTGTGGTGCCAAAAAAGCAATCACTCACACTTATTTAATATCGACATAATTTCATACCTCAATTGCGTCGGCGAATGTTTTTTTCGCCGAGCCTTCCAAGATGCTTTCATCATTTCAAAAACATAATCTACGTCTATTAAAAAGATTTTCGTGTTTCAAATATTGTGCGGACAGATCATTCACACTTACCGCATATTTTAATGGTCCAACGAAGAATATTAAATCACCTCAAGCCAGTGTGGACCACATGTCCTCCACCCCCAATCACCCTGGTGTTCAAAGTAAAGTAAAACTATTTATTCCCTGTCGTGTTCTACGTGTTTCACATATACGCTGACTAAATCTTCACAGTTCAATTAGAATACACAATACATATTTGGCAGAATAAATTTAATAATCTCATGGTTTGGTATTAATAATCTTATTGTTATTAATAATAATTAATTTTTTAAAACAAGTTTGATAAGATATTCCTAATTTTAACAATAATAAATATATATTTATTATAAATAAATTATAATTATATTATCTATTTAAAAAAAAAAATAGAAAAGTAGTCAGGAAAATGAAATTTTGTTAATTTTTTTCAGTTTTATTTTCAAGTAGTGTTTATTTAACTTTAAATTTTTAAAAGATTAATCAATGCATTCATTGTGTCATGACATTAATGATTTATTAATTAATGCTAATTTTTTACATTATGGTATATTATACAAGTATTTAATTTAATAACCAGGCCTTTTTCTAGTAATTGTTTTAATATACATGTCAAAATATTTTTGCAGCAAAAAATGGTGAAGCTGTATTCCAAGGAAGACCTCTGTATCTTGATGCTCAGGCCACAACTGCCATGGTAATTCATCAACAAATTCGTTTTACTTTACTGGGAACCTGTTATTTATATTTTGATCTGCCAATTATGATCATATGTCACAAAAAATATTAGTACATCTTAATTTTTTCCAATAAAACCATCAACCATGAATACATCTGAATTTTTCAAACAAATTGAATAGTTTTTGTATCAAATATAATTATGCCAACAATTATACAACTGCACATCCTGTAGGATCCTCGTGTGTTAGATGCTATGCTCCCATATATGGTTTCATTATATGGCAATCCCCATTCCAGAACGCATGCCTATGGATGGGAAAGTGAAGAAGCTGTTGAGAAAGCTAGAGAGGTTATCTTGTTTAATACTTTATGTACCAGAATATGTATAACTGGTTTTTTTGTACTTTATGAACAATTCAACATAAGATTTAATCTAATGTATTTTCAACGTTAGCAAGTTGCTGAATTGATACAAGCCGACCCCAGAGAAATAGTTTTCACAAGTGGGGCAACAGAATCCAACAACATTGCCGTCAAGGGAGTCGCTCGATTCTACGACTCCAAGAAGAAGCACATCATTACCAGTCAAACAGTATCTATTTTTTTCATTTGGATTCATTTCATATTTTTAAATATAAATGACCTCATATTTGGCCATTGAATGAATAAACATACAGGAGCACAAATGTGTGTTGGATTCATGTCGTCAGTTGGAGATGGAGGGATTCAAGGTCACCTACCTCCCTGTTCACCAAAATGGCATCATTGATTTGAATGTAATTTGGTTCTTTCGACGATTCATTATTAAATCATATTCACAATTTCATTTTTTCTTCATGTAGTTTTTTAATATTTTGACCGGTTTTTTTGATACCCCTATATTCTCCCTATCTTTTGTACCAGATCAAATTCAATGGTAGATTTTTTCGCTACTTTTTGCATCCTATAGGAATAGTTTTTTCATTAGAATTTGTTGGATTGTTCAAGTATAAAATGTCTGTCAAGCATTTTATTTTACTATTTATTAAAACTGCCATCCTTGTGAACTTAACAGTTGTTGGAGAGCAGCATAACAGCAGAAACATCCCTGGTGAGCATCATGGCAGTGAACAATGAAATTGGTGTCAGGCAACCAATCAGAGATATTGGTGGGTTCCTTATGGTTTCATGATTCATTTCGAGATTCGTTTTTACGTTTAATGTCTCAAACATTTTAAACTTTGTCATTCACTTCATGTTTGATATTTATTTTGATGTTTTTATTTTTTAATAATTTTGTGGTAAAATGATCCTTAACTGATCTCTTTCCTTATTTTTGAAGGCGAGATATGCAAGTCAAAATCTGTTTTCTTCCACACTGATGCTGCACAAGCTTTAGGTAAAGTTCCAATATCTGTAAATGATGACAATATTGATCTCATGTCTCTCAGTGCTCATAAAGTGTATGGACCTAAAGGTTTTCTGTTCATTGTGCTTTTCATTAATTTCTTTTTTGATTCAAAAGTTTCTGTAAAAAAAATAAAACTAAGTTTAGTGCGAGTTATTGTTTTATAGATAAGTGTTACTGAATAATTCAAAGCAGCAAGCGTCATTGTCGCAAGGAATCATTACGCTTAATGCATTTTGACTTGAGAGAAACACTTTTCTGATTTGTTTTTCAAAAGGTGTTGGAGCACTTTACGTGAGAAGAAAGCCGAGGGTTCGGATCCAGCCAATCCAAAGTGGAGGAGGACAAGAAAGGGGCATCAGAAGTGGGACTGTGCCCACCCCCCTCGTAGTTGGCATGGGTGTTGCTTGCCAGATAGCCAGACACGAAATTGAGGTATGAAGCAAAGTTACAGAAAAGTTAATTTCGTAAAAATTTTAAATTTTATGGTTTGTTAGATTAACTTGTTATATCGTGCCTTTTTGAATAACCATTCATTATTTTTTGTAAACAGTATGATCACAAGTGGGTTACATACCTATCTAACAGACTGCTCGAAAGAATCACCTCCAAGGTCACTCACGTCATCAGGAATGGAGACCCCATTCAATGCTACCCTGGTTCGTTATTATTTATTTTCCATAATTCGTCTCTTGTTAATTGATTTAATTTGTTTTTTTTAATGCATATTCAATTAGATTTTCGTCAAGAATAAATTGTTTTTAACTTTCAAACAGATTTTTGCATTGAAAATTTTAAATAATGATTTGTGTTTGAAATCCGTGATTTTTTTTATGTAAAATAAAAAACAACCAGGTTGCATCAACTTGTCATTTGCATATGTTGAAGGTGAGAGTTTGTTGATGGCTCTCAAAGATGTTGCGCTATCATCTGGAAGGTATATGCCGTCATGTCATCAGTTCATCTTCATATCGTCAGTTCTTCTTCACATCATCAGATCCTCTTATTATTCATTTACATATCACAGTCGTTTCACTTATTTACATAATTTGTAAACCAGTGAATGTGAATGTGAGTAGTTGATGTGTAAATGGTGTTGTATAAGCAGCTGTTGTATCAAGTGGGATGTTAACGTTAATGTTAAAATATCTGCCATGTAAGCAAAGTGTTAATGTAAGCAGCTCTTGCCTATCAAAATAATTTTGTATATAAAAAGTTACAAACTTATTTCAAATTTAACAAGTAACTACAGTATAATTCAAAATACGTACAAATAAATATATATATATATAATTAAAATAACAACAAAACTAAATAAATATAAAAACAATAATAAGTGAATTAACGGACATAAACAGTGCATGTACGTCAGCTTCTCTTGAACCATCGTACGTTCTTCGTGCCATCGGAGCTGAAGAAGACTTGGCACATTCGTCAATCAGGTAGCAACTATTCATTTTGCTTGTGTGTAGAAGTTTTGGAAGAAATTTATATTTTTAACTTTTTGTTCATCTGATAATTTTTAAACTCTGGTTTTGTGCTTATTAGTTTCATCGCACTTTTTATTAATTCAATTCATTTATAAATCGTAAAACCAGATTCGGCATAGGCCGGTTCACCACAGAAGAAGAGGTTGACTACACGGCAAACAAGATCATCTACCATGTATCCAGACTCAGAGAAATGAGGTTTCTACATTTTTTTACGTTCTTCAATTATTTGGTAATCCACAGTTATCTGTTCAGTTTATTTCTGTCATTGTAGTGTAAATTGATCTCTTGTGTGAACTGCATTCAATGAAATGTACAACTTTTTATTTGTTGTTAGCGTAGTATTCTCATGACACCGAATTACCGTCTGTTTGTGTGCATGTGCTTGTGCATGATAACCTCTGCACAATGAGAACAATATTTTGAAAAATTTTTAAATTGTTAAATTTAACGTGACCAGTCCTTTGTGGGAAATGGTACAAGAGGGCATAGATTTGAAGGACATCAAATGGACCCAACATTAGAAAAAACTTAGAAAAACTTACCGATCATAACGTTGTTAACATGGTTTCTTTTACAATTTTCCATTAAAACGTGTTCGTTTTTTTTAAATCACTTGTTTGTTGAGTTTAACATTTATCCCAAGGTAAATTCACCTCAAGTATATAAGTCTGCTTCATATATTTTCCTACTAATAGCCTTAACACAATAATCTTAAAATATTTTTGTTTAACAGTGCAAGCAGTGTTCAAACAAGAACTTGGGAAGAGCTTTGCATGAATTTAAATTTCCGAAACTTGGATTGTTCTAAATTGACGATTGCAAACGATTTATTCTATTCTTATTTTTGTCTTCAAATTGATATCATGCATGTCGAATGAGATGAGTCGTGTCTCTTTCTGTGAACTTCATGGTCAAATGAACCAAGACTTAATAAATTGCTTTACCGGTGAAAGGGATTTAAAATGTACAAATGATAGTCAATAATTAATCTCAAGTGTACTGAAAAATTACAGGACGAGGTTTATTTTCATTAAATTCAACATAAAATAATCATTATTGAAATGTTCATGAAGACTGACGGTTTTTAATCAATAGCTTAGTAGTGCTTGAATTGTTTCCGTTATAGGTATATTTATCGACATTCATACTGTTTTACGTTCAAGTATTGATGTTATTTTATAGTGTTGAATGAATATGAATTCAGTTGCTTAGAGTACGTTGGTTATTTGCGTATTTCCATTTAATCTGGACAGGTGGGAGGGAGATCCTGGCGTTTATAACGCAGACTCTCACAATTTCTTTACATTTTTTAATAAATTCGCCATATTTTCATGTATGTGTATATGCGTTGTAATGATATGAATAAAACGTTAAATTGATTAATTTTCGCAAATACTGTTGTTCGTTTGCTATTAGATGAACTGCAGTCTGCACTATGAATAGTATATATATATATATATATATACATATATATGCATTTAAGACTATCACATCAGATATTCGTTCATTTGTTCGTACGAAATCGTTAATCAAGGTAGCATCCCACCATACAACACAGACTTTCAACGCATGAACGTGCATCATACGTACACACGGTGTATTATATTCAAGTTTCAGTGGCGTGAGTATTGTGAGCATTTTAAAAAAGCACACGGTCGCATGTGAAAACTTGTATAAATAAAGTTCGAGTAGCTTATTAATTTAATTACAAATAACTGAATTGTTATTGAAATTGATCAAAAACTATGAACTCTAATTCAAGAACTGCTGCAATAAGTACAAAAGCGTTAAACCGTAGATTATCAATACTATTTACATTTGATGTAACTCGAGTGATTTATTCAAAATTAATTTTTTGTTTTTAATTGTTTTTAATATAACAATTTAGCATGTTGGGTTAGTTACAAACACAATAGTTTAAAATAATTCAGTTAAATACACTGCAACCAATCTACACAATCCATAGACAACCACATCATGCCATTACAAATTTGTCCTTCTAATGTTGTTTCCCGTTCTGATAATTTCATTATCATCTTGAAGGTCTCTCAGAGCATTGTCGAACGTTTCATACGAAGTGTACTGTTGATAAAAGTAAATGTCAAGATACAATCATGTCAAAAGTAACAGCTTTTTCATCACCAACGGTTTTCAAATTTATTCAATGGTTAAATTTCGCTTCTATAATTAAACTAAAAAAATCTTAAAAGAACGGACTGAACCTGTTCTCCCTTGACGACCATCCTTTCTTTGAACTCTTCATAAAGTTGATTGTACCTCAAGGTCAGAGTCTTGCCCTTTGTTCTGAAAAGTTTAAATGCAACAAAACATCGTAGAATATGTAATGCACAGATTGATGAATGCGTTATGGCAAACTGTGTAAATGGGCAGATATTTGATGTTGTAGCCACATTTTAATGTTATGATGTCAAATATTTCATACATTGCGTCGAAAATTTAAAAAAAATCAATAGAAAATCTAATTAAAATCTAACAAAAAATCAAATTAAATTATTTTGCATCACAAAAAAGGCAACATGAATCCGGTACAAACTTAATGATGTTGAGTAGGACAGAAGCTCTTTCAGCTCTTTGTTTCCTAGCCACTCCCGTGATTCCAGTGGTCAGGATGGAAATGTCGATCTTGCCTGTTGACGGGTCTACAGCTGCTTGCATCAGAGCCTCGCGATGCAATCTAGGAATATGAAAAGAAATGAATAAATTATTTGAAAGTTGGTTTGATCACCGCTCTCAACGTCGTTCAATTTTCTTGCATTGGAGAGCTTTTGAAATCATATAGAAAAAAATGATGACAATAACCTTCTCGCCTCTTGCACGTCCTCAACTTCGACGGTATCAGACAACCTCATCCTGGCATGTGCCTCGGCCAAGCGAATGAGAGATTCCAGTTGACGAGGGTAGGCAGACACTTGACCCCGACCACTTCCTACCTGCAAAGTCCATGAATGCCAACATCATCAAGTGGTGCATGCTGATCAACATGGGGTAACAGCATCCAACCAGATTGACCCAAACAAACCACAACAAAATAAATTGGGATGATATATTGTAGGTGAATGAACGAACCTTCCTCATTTCAACGTATGATTCAACAAGTACTTGCCCTGCTGTCTCACTGATGACAGGATGAACAAATGCTCGTGCATAGGCAATATAATCTTTCAGTGTCTCCATGTCCTACAACAGTACAAAAAATTTTATAAAGATTTTAAACAGTAATCATTTGAAAAGTTATTCATTTGGATAATATTGAAAGCTTGATGATGGGCCACATGTTGGCCACGCTTGCTCTGGAAGAACATACTGTAACACCAAATCACAAATTGAAACTAAATAAAGATCACTCATCCAGCTTACCATGTATTCATTTTCTTGATCATCCTGGCTCTTGTAGTACAATGAGATCAGATGATACGCAAGTTTTCTGTCAAAAATTTCGTCTTGAGGATCAAGGATTAGGAAAATCAGATCAAACCTGCAGTCATTTTATTTAATCAATCATTATAAACATTTGTGGCTATCCAATTAACTTGAATGTATATTTCAGCTTTGTCACAGAAACAAGAATGATTGAGTGTTAAGGTCATATGGAAAGGGAGAAACAAGAGAAATAGGTAGTGAAATGTTGACAGAGAAATGGATTGGTTCTAAATAAGCTAGTGTTAGAGGATAAAAATACTTCAGCAAACTGAATTTAGGCTCCTAAATTTGTTGTCAGCTAGAAAAATATGGAGAAAAAGATTTTAAGATTATTAGATGCACCTGCTAAGTTGCAATGCTGATATACATTGTATAATGTTGGACAATACTCTGCTTAAGTATGAATGAATGCTTTTAAGTATAATAATTCTAGTCAAAAATCCCATTAAAAGTTTGTTGATCTTACCAAACTAACAAACCAACCAGCCAACCAACCAATCAATCAATCAATCAATCAATCAATCAATCAATCAATCAATCAACCAAATAATGGAAGAACGAGTAGCGACCTGGATAACAATGTGTGAGGAAGTTGGATGTTCTCAATGATAGTCTTGTTTTTGTTCCACTTTGATTCAATAGGATTGGCAGCAGCTAAGATGGACGTCCGAGCATTCAATGAACAAATGATGCCGGCTTTTGCTATTGAAAGTGTTTGTTGCTCCTGTTTTGTGAGCAGGTTAAAGTGATTCAATTATTTTGCATGATATAAATATCAATTAATTTTTTTTCTTGAAGGCAATCTCAACAACATGAGAGATGCTAACTAAAATTCTGCATACATCAAGAGCATCTTCATCACAACAACAGAATAAATAACTCGGCATGTTCAGCACACACCAGCCAACCCACCATAACTTCATGGAGGACGGATCTTGTGCTCTCATTCATCTTGTCAAACTCGTCGATGCAGCAAACACCATTGTCACTCAAAACAAGTGCACCTCTGCATAGTTATAACATAGGCATTCATGTACATGAGAGAATTTTGAACAGAATTCAATAACAAATAAGAAAAAATATAGTTAAAAGATTTCAAACTAACGTTTGCAAAACGAGCTGTTTGGTTTCAGTATCTTTGGTAACATAAGCGGTCAATCCCACAGCACTTGAACCTTTTCCTGATGTGTACTGACCACGAGGAACAAGTGAGTAGATGTACTGAAGCAGTTGGGACTTGCTCGTGCCTGGATCTCCACACAACAAAATGTTTACATCAGATCTGCATTTCGCCATCAGTTCATAGAATGAAAAATCATTGCAACGTTATATAATTTGATGTTTTGAAGTGAGATTATCACTGAATGTAGCATTTGCACAATTCATTCATCTAACCCTTAATTGACCAACTAAACACTTCCAACATTAATTTAAAAAAAACACCATGTGTCAACTGATGCTTTGATTTTGAAAATGCAAACCACAACCACCAAATTAGCATGACACCATCAACAAAATCTGAAAATTTTCCCAATTGACCGACCTGAAGCGGCCCCTGCCAGCATCTGTGAATTCCTTCCTGGTGCCAGAGAACAATTGAAGAAGTATGCCCTTCTTTATGTCAACATTCTCGTATATGCTGGGAGCTACATGTGTCATGCCAGGTTATCAAAGGTTTTTAAATATTTTTATAACTTGCTATGGGTGAGGCATCTAGGAAGCTCTGTTCCTTGCTACTCTAACATCAATTATTATTATTGTAACTGGTTTCTAACCATCACATCAACCATAATATGAACAACAAAATCATATCACCAACTGACACACACAACACCAACCTACCAATCAGCCAACCAACCAACCAATCAGCCAACCAACCAACCAATCAGCCAACCAACCAACCAATCAGCCAACCAACCAAGAGCAGATGCCAGCCTCTCATATATGCCTTCCTTCTTAGAAAGTTCCTTCAAATAAGCAATTCGTTCATCGGAAAGATGCAGTTCTTTCCTAAAAACCATAATCAACACAATGGACAAACACATGCTATCATTTCACTTGTCACCCCATCAAGTTACTCAGACAAACTAAACAACTAACCACCCAGACAGCCAACATTATCAAAGAACATAGGTGTTGAGTAGATGATCAATAACATCCCACCACCACCACAACAACACTTACCCACTCTCATCTCTGTTCTCATGGAGTCGTTTCAAATCCATCTTTCTGTAATGTACAACATCAAAATGTGTCTTGTAGACTGACATGACATTTCTCTGTCTAGGGTTGACCCTGAGTGGAGTAGCCCTGTAGATACCCGTGATGGTCACCCGATCTCCCGGCTGCACACGATCAACCAGGTCACCATGGGCAAATATGACCATCGTGTGTGGGGTTTGCCCTGCTGGCATGTCCTCTGAATCAAACATTTCACAAATTGGTCAGTCAATAAACTAACAAATAGTGACTAAACAATAATATGCAGCAATAAACTGACATATCCAATTAACAAAACTCACAAGTCAAGTAAACAACAAACAAACTAATCAAGAAACAACCACCATACCTACAATTATTCATTCCTTGACAAAAACTACAAAAACGAACTTCAGTCCAAAAAACCAAAAAACTACAAAAACTAAAATCACAGCAACAACTGCAGCGCCAAAAGAACCAGCAACAACAAAAGCCATCCCAGCAACAAACACACCAACAAACCTGGAGACTCTTGCAACTTAACCATCTGCTTGTCAGTGAAGAGTGATCGATTGTGAATGAGTTGGAAGGAGTGGTTGGTGTTGCAGTTGTTGCACAAGGTTGGTTCGCAGATGCGACCTCTCTCTATCTCAACACTCTCTGTCTGCTGACATATGTGGCACTGGAAGAAAGCCTCTCTGGTCAGAGTGTGGTAAATAATCATCATCAGCATCATCATGATCATGGAAACATCATCATCATCACCACCACCAGAACAACCCACCTCATTTCAGGAATGAGTGATGAAGTCCTGATGACCATACCACTGATTGTGATCAGCTGATCGATATCTTCCGGGTTCAATGACCTCATACTTTTCGATTTTGTTGCATTGTAAGGTCGCACCTTTGTTAGTTAATCAATGTAATTTAATAAGTCTTCTGAAAACATATAAAAAACTTCATTTTGTTGTATTGTATATAATTTGATTATTGATTGGTATTGTATATAATTTGTTGATTCTTTTTGTTATTTAAACAAATTTGCAGTTCAAATCAATGATAAATGTTTTCGCTTAACAATGGAGGAAAAAATTAAATAAATTTTGTTACAGAAGGTCTACAGGCCGGGGAGGAGACACTGAACCACCAACTTGAATTTGATGTTCGAGAGCACCATCAGGGTACTTTGAGAGGAATATTTCATTGACTGCCACATCAAAGATGGGAATGACTTCCTGGGGATAGCATACCAACTGTCTGTAGAGGTCACTATCAAACAATTTCAAATGGTCACAGTTGAAGTTCAAGAATGGCTCTCCTGTCAACGATATCTGAATTTGAAAAAAGAAATACTTAAAGCATGTAAATAAAGAATGCTAAAAAGTAGAAACAGATTTTTGAAACTATTGAATAAATTTTGCAATTTAAAAAATAAATTATTTAAAAGATTTCCTCTACCTCATCAAGCCTCTGCATGTATATTGGCTCATCAATATCCATGCCATCAAACTGTTCATCTATGTCTATAGTTCTCTCCACATAAGACTCAACAAACCTGCATATTTATAATATAAAGCAAATAAAAGAGGGACAAATGAATATAATGACATAAAGATGTCTGACATTCAAAATTTTTTTGATAAAATTAAGAGGTTTGGGCATAGATTCAAACTTTGAACAAATGTAACCTCAAACTATGAAACAAAAACATGTAAAGTTCAAGATTATAAATATTATGACATAAATAAATAATTTAGAATATACAGCAATCAAACAGTGCATTATCACCTACCTTCTAAACTTGGCTTTGCACTTATCAATGGAGACATCAGTCCCCCAGATGACGACATGGGGAGCACCATCCACCTCATCTCCTCCTCCTCTCCTCCCTCCCTCACCACCATCCTGTTTCATTATTCAGTCACATGCTCACATAAAATTTATCTGCTTCCATTTATAACAAAACCATGACTATCTCTATATCAAATTCAATATTTTAAATACATTGATGCCTATGATCAAAATAAATAAATATCTCTATGGCTCTACATTCAATTTTTTCACCTTACAGTTTATAAAGTTGTACAATAAATTTAAAATTAAAATAACTTTATCTTATTTCTATGCCAATCATGTTTTAGTAAAACACTATTAATTGAAAAAAATGCAACTAGCGACTAATGACTAATAAAAATAGCAATAACTGGATAACTGACTTCATTCAAATTGACTCTCAGTCCCACCCTGTCTGTTTGAATGTCAGGTCGCTGCCTGTGAGGCGTGCCGGCATTCCTCAAAGATCGAGGCGTGTCATTCAACCTCCTCGGAGTGTCATTTCCTCTGGAACTCGGCGAGCCATATCGCAACGGAGAGCTCATGAGATCTGCATCACTGTCTAAACCTGACGATCAACATCAATTAGTAGATTGGTAATCTGTTTCGTTTGCTTCAACTGTTAGCACAAAATTAAGAACAATCAATAGCATTTAAATTTTGTACCAATTGTTTTAATTATAATTAAGATTTTAAATTAAACTTTATTTTAGAATTTAGTTGAACTGAAATAACAATTATTTAATAATCAAAAAGTGTACAAACGATTATCCCCATGGCTCCTTGGTTCATTGCTTCCGTTCCTAAGCTCTCTACGAGGAGTTTTTGATGGGGTCGACATTTATTTATTTAATACTTAATTCAATTTTATTAATGAAACGACATAAATAATGAATAAATAATGTAAGTTGTGCTGCACAGGCTATATTTCCCGCGTTAAAGTTGTTAACAGTGATGGCTTTCTCTACGGCCACAATTCACCGCACCGAGTAGTTACGGTAATGACTTTAGAATTTAGATTATGGTAATTATGGTAACTTAGAATGATTGGCTTATTTTCATCTTTATCATCATTATATTTTCAAGATTTTTTATCCTTTTCATTTTTTGTATTCTTTTGCAGACGTAAATTTTGTTAAAACATGAAGAAAATATACGGATAAATAAAAATGAAGTACAATTATGGATATTAAAGGCCCAAACGGAAAAGATTTTTCTAAACCGCAACCACCCACATCCGCAGAGTTCACGTCGGCAACCGCCCGCACCCGCACTGTTCATTATCCGCATCCTCAACGCACCCGCGAAAAGACAAACTAAATCGGCCGTCTTAATCCCATGTTTAAAATTAGAAGATAGCAACACTAGAAGGCAATCATTTTACAATATAATTATAATCATACAGCAGAGATTATTGAGGTTAAAATACAGATTGCAATGTTTCTACTTTGTAATTAATGAATCAATTTCTGATTGGTTTGAGTTTGTGCTAGATGATGGGATGATAAAATAAGTGTCATCAGCATGTTTAATGACTTTATTGGAGTTATGGTGTGGTGAGTTTCGAGAGTGGATACGCTAATAGTGAAAGCTGATGGTCCACGGACGGATCTTTAAACCTCACTAGAATAAGTTACTTAAGTTGCTGATAGTTGTGAACAGAAAAAAGTAGACTGACTCGGATTCCACTAAGAGAGAAAACCAAAAATAATATTGTGGATGTTGTCACGTAGAGGAAAAGAAGCCACATTATGTAGTAGAGTGAAGGTCATAGTATCGAATGCTTTAGAGCAGTCAATGAAGAGCAATAGGATGAACATGATCATTATTTTTAAGAAGAGATGTTATTGTAGAGGATGGCAGATGTTGATGAATCTGGAAAGCGAAATGCGTATTGATCATGCAGAAGTGGTTTGATTGAAGGATGATATGATTGAAACACGGATAGAGAAGCGTTTCAATTTGATGATGAGGTTTTAAGTTGATGTGACCGGTTTTGCAGCGGCTTTTTTGAAGTTCCCTAATTTCATGAACTTATTTTTATTACAAAGTAGATACTTTATATATGAACCGATGAACTATCATACACTGACCACTGTTTGACGACGGCTAGAACATGCATAGAACCAAACAATTAGAATACGTTGAGGTATGGTTCAATCAATCAATCAATCAATCAATCAATCAATCAATTAGCTTATAAAGCGCTATTTCCGCGATGTTCAACAGCGCTCCTCAATGAATTTTGAAAACAGATGGGTCTTGAGATCCGCTCTGAACTTCGCAAGCGATGGAGAAATAGTTAGAGAAGTAGGCAGAGAGTTCCAGAGAAAAGGACCAGAAAAAGCAAAAGCAGATTTGGCAAAAGAGTGTTTAACACGAGTTAAGAAAAAGCGAGAAGAAGAAGACGATCGTAAACCGGGGCGTTTAGGTTCAATTAATATATCTGATAAGTACTTAGGAAATAATTTAGATTGAGACTTATACATGAACGTGCAAATTTTAAAAATTATTCTATATTTTATAGGTAGCCAGTGCAAGAGAACAAGATATGGAGATATATGAGAAAAGAAAGGGGCACGAGCAACTAGACGAGCAGCAGAGTTAAAAGCTTTACTTAAAGGATAGAGTATAGAGTCAGGAAGACCATAGTAGAGCGAGTTACAATAATCAATCCTAGATAAGACTAACGAAGTAACAAGAAGGAGAAGAGTAGGATCATCAAGAAAAGGCAAAAGTTTTTTTATTCTACGTAGATGAAAGTAAGAGCTTCTAGCAACACTATTAATCTGAGAAGAGAGAGACATAGTAGAATCAAAGATAAAACCTAGACTACGAAACTTATGAGAGACATCAAGAGTTTTAGAATCAGGTAAGATAATAGGAGGAATAGTAATTGAGTGTTTAGATTTATTAAAACAAATTAATTCAAACTTAGAAGGATTAAGTTTAAGACACATAGAATCAGACCAAGCGATAATCGAAGAAAGACATAGAGATAAATTATGAAGAACATTATTGAGATTAGATGGAGGAAAAGAAGTATAAATATAAGAATCATCAGCATATAGTTGACTAGAGAAAGAAAAGTTATTAATAATACGAGGTAGTTCAGAAGTATAGAGTATAAATAGAAGAGGGCCAAGGATAGAACCCTGAGGTACCCCGAAAGTAAGAGTAGAGGAGTTAGAAGTAGAATTATTGAGAACAACAGAAGAAAAACGATTACAGTTAAATTTTTATTCATCAGTTTTGAATTTTATTTTATTTTATAAAACTTTAAAAATTTTTATCTTTTTTCTCAATCATTATAATCAGAGCGTAGATTGAAAAACAATCATAAACTTATTATTAATTTTGCAATACAAAAGACGTTGTAATATTTAAGGTCTTTGATTGGGTTTTTACCGTGGTTTTTACACTTTTGGATTTTCCAAAAATTTTAAATCTGAAAATCGAAATAATATTATAATAATTATTATATTAAATATAGTAATTATTATGATTATATAATAATAATAAGTCTTTCTAATATTAGGCCGGTTTGATTTTTAGATGAACTTTTATAAAATTAAGCAAAATATGTAAACTATTTCTCATGATTTTTAAAGTTTTTCATATAAAATCTTATTTTTCCCTACTTTCCCCCATTCTACTTATTTCCACAATAAAGCATGACTAGTTTGCGATGTCATCTGCAGCAGCACCGTGAACATGTCGTCAATCAAGAATGAAGTTTCAATGTTTATTTTGTTGAAAAATCAAACAGCTCACGAGAAATCTAGATCGTCATATTTAGTTGATTATAAAAATGTCAATGCACTCAGAGGAAGCCTGTGGTACTCTGCAGAACTTCTTGTTGAGTCGGGTCTTGTCAGTTTGAAGTCGGTTGATCAAGATCTGACTCTTAAATGTTCAGCTAACCATGTTTCTAAAATTTCTGAAATTGAGTATCAATATTTGCTGGCAATACCAAGTTGCAAAGAAAGATATCTATTTTATGTTGAAAAAAATAAAGAGTTGTACATTGCCAAGTTCTATTATGAATATATCAACTTCAACAAGCCCACATCTCAGATACCCATTAAGGTTAAAGTTTTCTACACTGAAAGTTTCAAGGATAGTGTGACAGGAAACTTGAAGTTTATAAATTGCATAGCAAAATATAAAGGATATTGGCTTGGAATTGATTTAGATGAGGTAAGAACAACTCAACTTGAAATTGAACTAGTTTTGAAATAAATTTATTTATATACTTTTTTATTATTTATTTGCAGTGCTTACATTCATAAATTAACTAAGTTATTAAATAGGCTTAATGAAATTTATAAAATAATTTAGTCAAATTGTTTTGAATTCAGGAAATGACGAATATAAGCCTGTTAAGCAGCAATGGATGTATTGTTCCAGACGACAACACTCATTTTATGTTCAAGTTCAATTGTGGCATTTTGGTGACACTCCATCGAATTGAATTCCTGACAGATCCATCAGGTTTATATTGCTGCAACATCTTTATAACTTTCTATTTTGTTAACAAATTTTTTATTTTTCTATTAACATTTTTTTCAAGTTTTTTGTGGAAAAAATTATTTCTGTTTAGCATTTGAGCATGATGCTGTGATGTCATATAGCAATAAACTATAGCGTGAGCTGGTGTTCTATTGCAGTGTTATAAAGTGAAAATCATATATATAGAAAAAGAGAGAGAGAGATATGATTATTTCAATAATCTTTTTTTAAATAGCAACCTGGCACATTTCTCAGAACATGGCTCACCACTTTTTATAATTTTTAATCTCTTGTATATTAGATAAACTATATTTTATAATTTAAATTAAATGCACTTAATACAATTTTTAATCTCTTGTATATTAGATAAACTATATTTTTTAATTAAATTTAGTTGGTGTTGCTGTTTAACATAATTTTTTCACAATTTGTGTAAATGAATTGTTAGAATTTTAAAGGATTTCAAAATTTTTCAGACTTGGACAAAATAGTGCAGCTGCTAAACTTAGGTGATCGAGTGATGTGGGTGGAGGATGATCATCTGGAGTACGGGGTTGTGAGGTGGTGTACAATACTGGAGGAAGTGCCCAACCAATACTGTTATGGCATTGAATGTGTTGGTCTTCTTTTCTACATTCGTTTCACTCAATCTCAATATATGAAATGTTTAAATTTAATTAGAAACTCATACGTTTTTAAAATAGTTAATTTCTTAAATTTTTCAACATCCTTTCAGAAGTTTTGAAAAATTTATGTACTTATATATTATTTCATGTTTTACCTGTTTACAAATTATTTTTCATCAAAGCTCTGCGTTCAATTTCCATTTATTCCACAATTTTAGTGAGTTTCTGAATTTTCCATGGACTCAAACAATATGTTGTGATGAGTTGGATTACAATAAAAAAGTATTATATTAACACTGAGATGTTGCAACATTTGCGAGCCAGGCAAATTTTAATATACAGCACTGCTAATATTAAGTTGATTAGAAACATTGCAAAATTATTTTAGATTTTGTTCATATGTTTGTAATATTGGGTTTAATATATGTATTTGTTCTTATTGTCCTATTCCTTGAAACATGACTCTTACTCTGTCAGCTTTTTGTTTAAATACTGACTATTTTTGTTTTAATTTTGTAATAACGTCTTACCAAATTTGTTGACAACTTTCAAATTGTGCTATTGTTCTGCATGTTGTTCTACCTACATGTTGTTCTACGTACATGTTGTTCTGCGTACACTTTGTTCTAACTACATGTTGTTCTACGTACACTTTGTTCTACGTACATGTTGTTTGTAAAATTGTTGGACTGAAGAGCTTTCCCCACTTACTTATGTTCGGATTAGACGGATTGAATGATTTGGTAATGAGTTGGTTTAATTTGGTTTTCACAATAATGGAAATGAGATGGTGGAAATAAGGATGAGACAATCTCCATTGCAAGGCGCGTTAGAACAGTCTGAAGTTAGAACGTCATGTGTAACTATATAATCTTCACCATTCACGAGCTCATTCCATTTTTATTTCTTCCAACTGCAGGACAATCCACTGGGTCGAGGCACTGGAATGTTCAATGGTAATTCAAGGCTTTTTGCATTATTTTCTATCTGCTATTTTTTGTCTAATTATAGAAGCGTGGTTTTAATTTAACTGTTTTTGAATTTCAATTTTTAAAGCCTGTTAAAGTTTTAAGACTCGATTTGTCAATTTTTCTCTGTTTTAATTTGCTTTCAGAAAATGTTAAAAAAACTTTAATAATGATCTCTAAAAGAATCCTGTTTCCTCCAATTTCCTACTAACACATTATTTTCTGTGCAAGTAATTAACTGAGGAAATACTTTTTCAACTGTGTTTGTTATATAATGCTTCAACTCAGAGGCGAGCAAACTGCGACTCTCGAAAAGAAAAATGAATGACATTATAACCAAAGAAAGGATGTCAGCCAGACATCAAAACCAAATCAACATCTTAACCCCCCTTGTTCAATTGTCGAAAAATTTTATAATTAATATATTTATGTGGTTCTTCAAAGGTAAACTAGTTTTCAATGCGGTCCTCACAGCAAAAAGTTTAACAACCCCTGCTCTAACTGAAATGCTGCTTGTTCTCAAACGTCTGCACCTCTTTTGGAGTTTTTTCCAGAGAACTCGTACTTCAAGGCACTGATTTTTGTATCAGTTGTAATCAGATGTTTCGTATATGCATTCAATATTAGAAATTTTTTATATTATTTTAGACAAATATAAATATTTATATTTGTTAGATTATTAAACTTTTCCAGCAGATGTATACTGCATAATATTTCAAAGTTGAAATTGATTTTATTGAAAATGCTGAAAGGAGTGCAGGTGTTTAGGACGAAGAATAAACACGCCCGAATCATGCCAGCCTGCTCTCTTGCTAAGGTGGAAGTTGAAGCTTCATTTGATACAAACTGGACAGCTGACACAATCGCCCCCACCGCAGCTCTTGCAGATGTTACATTTAACACGAATGAGAATAACATTACAAACGTCGTTCGTGAATTTAACGTTGCTGATGAAAGCTCAATGAAATCTCGAGGCCACTGTATTGCAAGCACTGCTGTCCAAGAATCACGTACTAACAAAGATCAAGGAGGTAAGTTTATTTATATCATGCATGGCATGCATATTTTCATTTCATTTTGAACCAACTGAAATTTTGTTTCTTGAAGATATCGTTTGTGAACCAACCAAACTATCCTGCAAAAAGTCAAAATCTCTATCATTCCCGTCACATCCATCTAATAAGTTGAATGAATGGCATTCCGATGAGTCTGCCTGGATTCCAATGAGCGGAATGGAGAAAAATTCAAAGGAATTAAAATATGAAAATACACCTCTTCGTATGAATCTTAAAGAAAATGTCGTAAACGATAGTGAACCTTTCTTCTCACTACTTAACAAACAAACACAGGACAAAGGTAAGGTATATAAATTGAGGAAGAGTGCAGACGATGTTTTCAGTGACACTAGAGAGTGGCTGGCAATTATGACTGGCGCCAAATTATCATTTTCTAGATCTCCAGATAAACCTAATTTTCAGATGTTAACGTCAAAAAAAAATAAGCTCCACATGCAAAAGGTCTTTATAATGCATCTTTTTTCAAGAAAGTAACTTTTAATTTAAGTACAGTAAAATTATAATTGTTAACATTTAAACTGCTAATAAGCGTCGTACGTTGAACTCGCTTATAGATTGAAATTCATTCCATGGTGCAAGTGGAGATACCGGGGATGTCCCTGCCTCAGAAAGGGGTGGTCAGGTGGATGGGCACCATCGCTAAGGAACAAATTGTTGGCATTGAACTGGTTTGTGAAGTATTTTTTTCAAACTTTTAATGTGGACGAATAGTTTGGTGTCACAATTTTTTACCTGTTAACGAGTGCTTAACCTACTATTTATTTAATTTAAAGTAGTTTGAAATATTAACTTCCGAGTGTAAACTTTGTTTAAATACTAGCATTATAGTTTCAACAGAATAGAATTCCAATATTGTTAATTCCTATAGCTTCTTTTCATATTTACACTGGCACCATTGTTTCGTATTGTTTCATGTTGTTTCATGTTGGATCAAAGAAGTAACATAAATTAGCACTATTATAAACGTTGGCAATTGGTGGTTTCCAATTGTTGAAGTAAATAAACACAATAAGGAAGATTCATATTGTTATTTTTATTTGAAATGCTTTTTTATTTGTTTCCAACAACAGAGAGAGAGAGAGAGAGAGAGAGAGAGAGAGAGAGAGAGAGAGAGAGAGAGAGAGAGAGAGAGAGAGAGAGAGAGAGAGAGAGAGAGAGAGAGAGAGAGAGATAGAGAAATTGGCATTTATGCTATGTTATATAAATATTAATACATTCAACACGTTCAGTACATGCAAATTTATTTTGTACTTGTTGAAGAAATATTCACTTTAAAATTTTTTACCACTCTTACAATTTTGCAATTCTTCATGTGCTGCAAATTTTTTTTTTATAAAAAAGTAGAGCAGAAAATATTTACGACTTTTTGTACTTTTGTGAATTATAGTGGTTCGTGTTGTTGGTTCACGTTGTCAGTTCACGCTTCATGGTTCGTGAATATGACCCATTAAAACAGTCATCCTTACACTCTTCCCATTTTTAACGTTATTTCTTAATCTGTCTTGACTTTTGAGGCTGTTGTCTGCATTTTTCGTTTTTATGAAGAAAAAAAAAAACGTTTCTTTGTTCTTTTAATTGGCAGGTCACAAAATACTTCTGCATAAGATCTCAAGTTGTACGTTTTTAGCAGTGAAGGCGTTACTTTGTTGCGTAAAATTTCGTGGTTTTCAATAATTGACGGTTGTTATGGCAGTTGTTGTGTATTATTTATTACGTGTTATGTGTTTTGCGTGTGATACGTAGGTTGTTATGTAAACTGACGTGTATGTTTTGTATAGTGGTGGTGTGGTGTGGTGCGTCCTGTAATGAGGTGATGTGGTGTGTTGTATGTTTTGTGTTAACAGGAAGTTGAGTGTCTGGCGGCCACAGATGGTCGCTTCATGGACAAACAACTCTTCACGTGCGCTCCTAAAAAGGGATACTTCACCAAACTCTCCAGAGTGAAATTAGATGACCGGTTCGCCCACTTTTCCTCATTTTCAACACTTTCATCAGAATTCAGTGAGTCGTTGCGAATAATGTTTTGGGGCTGATTATGAAATTTGATAATTTGAGATTTGTATAAATAATGAATTAGTGGTCTACTGCTTAAATATTGTGAATCTTTTGATCATTTGTAGTTTATTTTTTATTGGTCAATGTACGTGTGTCGCAAAATCCAGAACATTTTCGTCTAAAAGATATAACTTTGCATCTTTTTTGAACAACGTGAGGGAAGTCGCTTCTGTTTTCTTAAGATTAAGATTTCTGGTCTCACTTTTGTAAGTTTTCAACCATCAATTCAGGCTACTATTAATTAAGAATTCTCAGTGGATGTGTGCATTTTTAGTAATATTCTTAATGCTGCATTTGGTCATTATGTTTGATTTTTCAAATATTTCAATATTTGTACAATAGGTTGTTGCAGATACAAAATTGAAATTTTGTAGTTTAAAAAATAAATTTGAAATAATTATAATTGCGAATTTTTGTTGGAATCCATTCTACATAGGCTTTGGTGGGCTTGAATGTTTGGAAGTTCTTGAACGCCAAAATTGTTTGCAAGCAAACAATTACAAAGAGCTTACTACGATTATTCAAAGGTTTATTATAATTTTATCTTGAGTATTACTGTTCAATTTTCTCAAATATTTTCAGAAATTTTGTTATAAATGTGTATGTTAAACTCTCCAGATGTTTGTCGAAGCAAGTTCAGTTGAGCGCCATTAACCCAAGTACCTCTGACGAGAAAATTTCTACCATTCGACCTGCTCAGTGCTCAGAAGAGCAGCCACACCCATCCCAGCCAAAGACGACGACTGAATCGTCTTCAAAACAAACTTCAATGAAGTCATCGTCCTCATCGTCACTTTCCTTATCTGACTTAGAGCGGGAAGCATTTGATGAAGTTCTTTATGACACAAGCTTCAACCAACGACCAATTGAAAAATATACAGAGAAAATCAAAATACATTCAATTAAGGAAAATCATCGACAACAACAAAAACATAATCTGTTGTCTCACCAATTAAATCCTCGACCACAACATTCACAGCAGCCACAACAACAGCAACAACAACCACGTGCACAACAACCACGCGAACATCAACAACATCAACAAAACTTTTCTCAACATTCACAAGCTCTAACAAAACGTCCAGAGACTGATTTGATGTGGTTTGATGATATGCAGCGTAGATCTGATGAATCACTAGATGAACTGATCAATGTTGCTGTTGATTATGTTGCAGGCAGAAACCTCGGCATTCAAGGACACCACAATTCATGTTATTTGGACGCCTCCCTCTTTGCCATGTTCACATTTAATGACTGTTTCGATTGCATGTTGTATAGAAGCAAAAATGTTAATGATATTAACTCTTATGATGAAATACAGAGAACATTGCGAGACGGCATTGTTCATCCACTGAGACTGTGAGTTTTAAAATACATGCGCCATTTTATATTCTGTCTATAATGTTTCTTCTATATTTATTTGATTCCTTTGCTTAATTTCTGCAAATTTCATCTCTTTTTGTAATTCTACATGAATGGTTAATTCATTTATGATATAGTTTTATAATTATTTGTCCAATCATGCGCATGCTATCCATCATCGTGATGATCGTATCTTGTGCATGATATATAATATATCGTCATGATTATTCGTGGTCTGAGCGACAACCAGACTTGAGCTCTCTTAACTTTCAAACTTCACGTCCGCCAAACGTAGGTGGAAGTTTGATTACCATTTTTATATTACCCCAGCGTCTCCAACTATTTTATTTTCCGTTTTAAAACTTTTTTCTTTTACTAGATTCACCATTTAGCTGTATATTTTTTGATTTAGCGAACAAATTAACTCGCCGCCACAGTATGCAAGTTCAAATTTAAAACATTAAAGTTTTGTTACTTGCTGTTTCTATTTAGCTTCTGAATAATTGTGATGAGTGATGGAAATAATATTTTGAAGCAACCTCTACGTGAGGGCCGATAAAGTGGTGCGGTTGAGGCAACTCATTAGTGATGTCAGTCGCAACTATGGCTTCCTCAATGAAGAAAAAGGTGGTTTTTATTAGTGTACATTCGATTCAATAATTTTCTACTTAATAAGAGATGTGCGAACAAAATGCTCATTGCACAGTGGGAGTCAATGATACAAATTTTAATTGTTAGCATTGCAGAGTCTGCATTCGCATTCATGAGATTTGTTCGACAGTTTTATGAGCTATTGATTGTCACCTCATGTCTTTAATATATCACATTAAGAAACTGTTGTTTTTATTAAGTTCTTAATGGTGATGTTATTCTCATCGCTCGTTGTTTCATTTAAAAAAATTTATTTGCTAAATCAATTTATGTAATTAGTTGTGTATGTGCTAATATTATAAATGCATATTGTAATCTCTCTCGGTGGTATTTATTACATGCTTGGCAACAGTTGGGCAACATTATGTTAAGTGGCGTCCAACTAAGTTTCTGAAATACATTATAAGAGTGTTCAAAAATTTATTTGAAGAATTGATGAAATTGAAGAGAGAGACTTCGAAGAAAGTTCTAGGAGAGGTTTGAAAAATTGTAGGAGCTGAAATGTCGTTAATAAAATTTTATGGAGCAATGTTATTTTGTCAAGAAGAGTTTAACAGATTTATTGAATATATAAAATTAAATAAAATAATTTTAAACTAAAAATTTTGAGCTGAGCCAAAGAAAATATAAAATCAAGACAGAAACAGTTGTCTGTTGGTTTGAATTTCGAGTTGTCATTTTTATCAAATGACGAATTTTAAAAACTTTTTGTTGTATTTGTAGAAACAGCTTGAGAGACAGGGATGACACATTATTTTTAACCTTATTTTTATTAACAATATTTGAAACGGCGATCGACTGATGATAATTTTAATATTTGAACATTTGTTAACGGAAAATTATAACTGACATTGCCATGCCATCAATGAATAAAATACAAATTTTCGTTAAAATTTATTGACATATTTGACACGAGAACTCAAGCACCTTGAAGATTATGTTTTTACCATATTAAAGATGTTATGAATTAATAACAAATCTCATTATCTTTCAATACAGATCCTGAGGAATTCTTGCATTGTCTGTTCAAAGAAACATTAAAATTGACTCCATTGTTGCAATTCAAGTCAGCTCAATTCTTTGTTAAATAACAAACATCTTGCTTGTTAACAATATTTTTTTGTCACCTGACTTGAATTTAAATTTGGCAATGTTACTCGATGCTTTTTAAGCAATCTGGAACAACTTCAATCTTTTATCTTTAATTAAGTTTTTCTTTAAATAATTTTTTGGTCTACCAACTTTCTCCTAATTGATTTCTGGTTTTCAAAGAAAATAAATTTGATTGTTTTATTTATTTGATTCGTTTTTATACTACTAGCAATGAACATTGACCTAATTTTTCATTTTTAGCACTGGTTTGCAAAATTATACAGTTCAGTTGCTGGTTGACGATCCGTCAATGACATCATCTCAAATGTCACCGACATCCACTCCAACTTTGGCTCAGCTGTTAGAAGCCTCGATGCAAAAATTTAATTTAAAATTTACGAAGGTTTCAAGTGTGAATTTTTTTATTTTTAATTTCTCACTCATAACGTTTGGTGAACAATACATCTCAACTTTATCAAGTGAAAATTAAGGTTTCCGGCACACGATCCAGTCAGCACGGGCAATTGATATTATGATTTCAGCGCATTATATAAAAATTCTACTACATACCTTGACAAATAGGATCTATTTATTGTTTAAACTTTTTATGACCACATATTTCAACATTTGACAGCACCGGTCACTATTCTTCGTATTATGCATCGAATATTTGGCCAATTCATATCTGAAATGTCTTTTTTCAGCCTTTCTTGCCATTCTGAAGAGCAAATTTTTGGTTTAGTTATATTTATATTCTGTTTGAATGACGGAGTTGCTATCATTTTGTTTGTTATAAATGGAAAAATTTACATAATTGTTTTCAAGTGTCCCGAAGTACTAATTCTGCAGTTGCCGCGATTTGGCATCAAGAAAATGTACAAAAGAATTATACCTCTGCCTTATTTAAGTTTAAAGAATCTCATTTTGACCAATAATTCAAAAAGTATGGTAGTTTTTTATACGAAATTTAATTGCTTTCTTTCTTACATTGAAACAAACACATATATTGTCAACATTGCAGCCACTACAAGCGCTTCCCATTCAACTATGTCAAGTACTAACTATGTACTGAACAAACAAGTTAATAAAGTAGGGTCTTCCTTTGAAAGTCCACAGGCCAAACCTAATGATAGTGACGACAATGATAGTGATAAGGATAGCGACGATGAGTTATTTGAACTTGATGATGATGACGATTTGTTAGAAGATGCCCCGTCTGATGTTTATGTAAGTCCCAGCATGAAAAATATTAGTCCTCTATCGTTAAATTTGATTCAGAGCAGTACCGACACCATCTGCAATACATCTAAAGATTATACTCTCGAGTTATTTGCCGTCGTATGCATAAAAACGAGTCATTATGTTTCCTTTACCAAATGTGGCTACAAACAAGATAGTCCTTGGTTGTTTTTCGACAGCATGTCCGACAGGATTGGTTTGTGAAATTTAATTTACTTATTTCGTATATCACCAATTATTGTTTCATACTTATTCATTTAGTTTTGTTTTACACTTGTTTTTGTTTAACAACATTTCTAAAAGATTCGGGTCACGGTTACAACATTCCTGGGATACAAATTTGTGAGGAGGTAACAGAATTTCTTATGAATGAAAGCTTCAGAAATCGATTAGAGAGTACCCCTGACGAATCGCTATCAGAAGAACTCAAAAGATTTTTATGCGATGGTTATATATGTTTCTACAGATCGCAAAAACCGATTTAGTCATAAATGTGTTTGTTAAAATACAGACTACCATTAATTTTTCTAACCTGATAACCCTTACTAATTTCCTTATCTTTTAAAGCATATTTTACTAACTGTGATTCTACTAAAAAGTGTTTAAGATGCCCGCGTATATGAATAAATCAATCCAAATATTGAATTACAAACTGTTTATTGACTGCTAAGAAGTTCTACATATATTAAATTTTCAATATACGATACATAAAATTTAAAAAGCAAGATTGTTTATTAAATAAAGTGTTTTTAGCATAACATGTTCTTTCGTTGCAGTAGTTCCCCGATATGAGATATATATTTTTCCACAAAATTTGTAAAAAAATCATTTAATATCTGTATAGTATTCTTCAAGATCTTCACTGTACCGAAATTGTTCGACAGTTTTTATGGTTTTGTCGTTCGAGATTGAAGTATTTTTGAGTGATTTAAACCTGGACAAATCGACATTTGCAGGTATCATAAATGGTTTTTTAGGCAATATTTGCCGAATGTATAAATTTTTGTTGAAATCAATTTTTTTGTAAGTTTTTCCGTTTACATTTACAATGTTTGGCAACACTCTACAGTCCTGTATATTTGTTTGTGGCTCGATTTCTTTACCAGGACTCATCGGATGTCCAAACCTATTTAACTGGTTATTGACTGAATTTGCGGTCTTGCTTACTCCTTGAGTTTCATTTAGTAACATTCTCTTCTTTTGCGGAATCGCAGGTGGGTAATTGGGATTATTATTCGAAGAAGAAATATTGGAGCTGGTTCCTTTTTTTGAAGCCAATTGAGGTTTGAATTCTAAAGGATTTTGTTCAAATGTAGCAATTATTTTACTGAAATCGGCCATTTTTTCATCCGGGCTCGGTTCAGAATATATTTCTTCTTCATATCTATTCATTTTAAAAATTTTATCTCATACAATCATAACATTATTATTTTACCATAAAACGTTGAAACAGAATGCACATACAATATTAGATTGTTTGTCTAAATAGCAGTAAGCCACATTGTTTAGGATCTCATTCAATTGCTACGTTTCTCAACTTAGGAGAACCCAGCTTTGTTAATAGTGCCGTCAGACCCGGAAGTATTACAAAACGGGTATTTCTGTATTGCAACTAAATTACATACGTAATATAGACAAAATTTGTTTAGGAATATGGTGGGAACATGACATTTATAACTAGAATTGCTCTATAGCGTTTCTCCCATTTTATTCTCAATAGGAATCTAGAAAAGCAACGACGTCACGCATCCATTATAATTGATTTGATACAGGGAGATTCCAGCAGGTGATAAAATTTACAGCGTAAAAAATTTAGTTTAATGACTTAATTTGCTTCAAGGTCAATGTTAAAATCAAACGCTTCATTTCACTTCCTACGTATAATCGAATGGGCGTAAATAAGAATAATTACTGATTTGCAGTATTTGGTAAAATTTAAATTCAAATGATTTAAAACCACTATTTAATCAATTTATTGTTATTTATTTAATTAAGAAAAAATGCCTGAGTTAACCCCTTGCTAACAAATTAAATAAGATAATGTTTCGAGCTAAAAATAATAATTAGTATGCTGTCTCAACCGAACCAGTAAAAACAAAACAATTTTCAGATTCAACACTCGAATGAACATAATCAATCAATTAATCAATCAATAAATTAGCTTGTAAAGTGTTATTTCATCAGTGCTTTTCAGTGAAATTTACAAACACATGTGTCTTGCTTGAGATCCGCTCTGAACTTCGCAAGTGATGGAGAAGTAGTTAGAGAAAGGGGTAGAGACATCCAGAAAAAAGGGCCAGCAAGCGTAGATTAAACACAAGAGTGATGTCACACATAGTTCAGCCACAGCCTTAAGTTAAAAATACGTCAATATTCAACAACAACAAAAATCATCAAAAAACATAAGATGTTAATCCAATAAAGATTAATTATGCTAAAGATACTGAAATTAAAATCAAATAAAAATTCAGATAAACATAAATTTTCTTAACTCAATAAAGACTAACAAATCCAAGAAAACAGTATGGTCCATGGTCTATATTAATATCAGATTCAAACATTTATGAAATTAATTTGAAATCAATTCTAGTCGATTTTGGGTTTTATTTCAAATTAGTATTAACATGATTTTAAAAACTGAAAATAATTGTAATGAAATAAATAATAAAACAAAAGTAATAATAAAAATGTTTATAACAATGCTGTTGTATTACTTAATAAACGAATTAATAAATACACATCTCAAAAATAAATAAAATAATATAAAGTCAGAACTTTGAGATTGGATTGAAGCAAGAATTGAAAACCGACCAGGGATTTATTATCGCCGCGATTGTTCACATCCATGGATATATATATATATATATATATATATATATATATATATATATATATCCATGTTCACACCATCATTTGCAAGAGCAATAAGAAAACATAATATCACTGCTGAAGGAAATTGATATCGGAAACAGAATTGCGAAGAATCTCAGGTTTGTAATGATATTGATGTACAATAGCATCCAGTGCAGATGGCGATGGTATACAGAAGTTTATTGATATGACACATGATGGCAATCAATCAATCAATCAATCAATCAATCAATCAATCAATCAATCAATCAATCAATCAATCAATCAATCAATTTTAACAACAACAACAATCAATCAATCAATTTGACATTTTTATTTCATCAAATCAAACAGTGAAATCAGAAAAATGAAATCAATGAAAGGAAATGATCTGGAAATCGAAAAAGAAATCTGGACTTCTTGTACTGATCACCAGTGTCAATTTGTAATAATGATATATGGGCAGATTTAAACAAATAAAAGAATTCAAGGTACCCAAACACATTATAAAGAGTAATTCTAATATTTCAAAACCGTTCCGAAATATAAAACATAATTATAAAAAAATTCAATGTACCCAAACACAATATAATGTAGGTTATAGATATTTCAAAGAGTAATTCTAATACTTCAAAATTGTTTCGAAGTTTGAAACATAATAATACTTTGACTAACTTCTAAATTTTGAATCTTATCTTAAAGAAATACCACGCCAGAAGCATTATGCCAAGCACATACACTCACTCACGCGCACAAAAACACTCACGTAAACACACACCTGTTCATCCACACACACTCACATAAACACAGCACCCATTCACACACACTCACACAAGCAACCACATTCACACACACTTAGACACACATAACGCTTACATGAACATGCTTTCCTAATCAATCAATCAATCAATCAATCAATCAATCAATCAATCAATCAATCAATCAATCAATCAATCAATCAATCATTTAATCAATCATTCAATCAATCAATCAACCAACCAACCAACCAATCAGTCAATCAATCAATCAGTCAGTCAGTCAGTCAATCAATCAATCAATATATCAATTAGCTCCTCTGTGAATTTTACATACGGATGGGTCTTAAGATCCGCTCTGAATTTCTTAAGTGATAGAGTAGTAGTTAGAGAAGAAGATAGAGACTTCCAGAGAAAAGAACCAGAAAAAGCAAACGCAGATTTAGCACAAAAGTGTTTAACATGAGTTAAGAAAAAATGAGGATAAGAAGACGAACGTGAAGTAAACCGGGTCATATAGGTATATAGAATATAAGGTAAATATTATATATAAACATATATGACCGGGGCGTTTAGGTTTGATTAATTTATCTATTAAGTATTTAGGAAATAAATTAGAATGTGACTTGTACATTAATGTGCAGATTTGATGGCGAATTAATTTTATTATATATGTAATATAGTTATATGCAAATGTATGTTATATTATAGTGAGTTGATGCAGTAGGGCAGAGGAGTTAGGATCAAATAAGTGAATAATTTGTTGTTTTTGGTTATACGTTTCCATAGTGATCATCATTCGACTTGACAAACATGTCAAATTCGAGGTTGAGTTTTGAAAAGCTCTTTAAAGAATTGTGCATTGCTGAAGAAAAAGAAGCGAGATATTGGAGAGAAAATGATGCAAAATTTCGAGCGGTTCATCAAAAGGTAGCTACATACGATGAATTTAGGTTGGAGTTTTTACTATTTTATAAAAAATTATAAAATTTTGTAGTAATACCTGCCATCTCTATCATCTATCGATTCTCCCAGAAAGACAGAATATAATTAATTAATTATTAATAAATAATCCATCAGAAAATAATATTTTTAAAGTTTGATATGAACTAAAAAGGCCATAAATGAGCCATGATAAAACTATAAATAAAGAATCATAGTCCATTCCATAGTCACTATCAGAATAGTTTTTTAAGCAACTTGAAATAACTATTTTGATAGTAAGTAACCACTAGTTTCTTTAATTTTTAATATTTGAATTATTTATATCAGAGAATTTCATTCAAGTATGTATGTATTATTATGCTTGTTCTATTTCAGTTGCATAATATATGTGGCTCTGTTATTGTTATTGGTTTTGTTTGGATTTTCATTGTTTTATCAGATCAATTATGAAATATATCTGTTTAGCAATTGGAAGTTGTTTGATATTTAGACTTTTCATATTTTTTTTATTTTCACTTATTCTTAATATAAAACAATTACAACACTTACTCATGTATATTTTAAGTACACATGTTTATAGGAATGTAATAAAATAATAAATCATGTAAATTGCTTAGTGAAAAGAGATTATTTTATGCGAATACTCATAATCTAGTAATGTAATGTTAGTTTATCCTACTTATAATTAAGTACATATGAAATGTGAAAGCTAATCCACATATGCTGCACAAATCTTGATAGATCCCTAATTCCAAAAAGCATTTAAAAATACTTTTATAACTTCTTTCAGGGGAATAGTACAAGCATCTCATCTGAAACCGTTAGATAAAAATGACAAAATTAATGGAAAATTTTACCAGCCCTGGAATGCAATCTCTTCAGAAAAATCTTACACAGAAGAAAACCATTATCCAGTCTCGTCTTCAAATGTTAGTGCTGTTGGCAGTTTATAAATTATTTTGAAGCTTTATTAGAAAATAGTGACTATGTAGTCAGCTACTTACTCAAAAGCAAAGTAACCATCATAACATTAATGCATATATCAAACATGTGACAAAAGGCTAAGAATACATGTGATACATGGCTTGCCAACTTTAAGATTTAGAAGAGTTCGTGGAGACATATTAATGATTTTCAACATTGCAAAGGTTATGGTAGATAAAGATTCCTCATTAGCTTTGTGTTTTGATGTGGATCCACGTACCAGAGGGCATCGCTATAGAATACATGTTCAAAAGTTCCATACAAATACAAGAAAGTATTCGTTTTCTAACAGAGTGATCTCTATTTGGAACAATTTACCGACATGCGTTGTTGAATCAGATACTGTTTCCAACTTCAAGAAGAATTTTGACTTATATATATGGCCAACAAAGATTTTCTCTTTGATAATAAAATTGTCATTGTTGTTTGATTGCTTTTTGTTGTCTTTTAATGCAATTTAAGCCCATTATTTATTCATATTATATTATTATTATAAATTTACAATACAACACGTCAATAGTTTAAAATTCCTTAAACTTCTAGAAGAGGGGTAACACTGAAATTTTTACATTAAAACTGCTATTAAAACTGTCAGGGAATTAGTCAGTCCACAATTACTGATATTGCACTATAAAAAATGTTGGGCTATTACACTGCTCATAGATTAAGAGGAATCAACAAGGCACACACGTCGTATACGAACACGTGCTAAACGTATCTATTTGTCATATACGAACCTGGTCACAGTAACTGAAACTCTGAGAAACAGCACCAGACGACTTTAACACTAAGCCATCACGCCGCCCAAATTAATATATTCAAATAGATTTGATTCAAAATTCAAATTATTTACTCAAAACTTTTCCGTCACGTGATGATTTAATGAAAAATTTTGATTGACGTCTTGATTATATTTTCAGTTGCACATAAATGATCCAGACAACAAGAAGAACTTTTTCCGGCTGTGGAAATTATCTACAAGCGTTGAGAAATATTGTTTCCTCACAACGTCCCGCAAAGAACACATCAAAACAATATTTTCGGTTGATATTAATTGTGAGTTGTTGGGAGAAGCAGTAGTGGAACTGAACAACAATTACAACAACATTGATGCATCTAAAATCTTTGAAGTGCTATCAATATTTGCCGATGCAAGCCGCTTCAAACTATTATTAGATTTTTTGTCTCAACCAGAAAAAGACTCTCTTAAAGAATTGTTCAAAAAATTAGAAACGGATCTAAACAGCAAAAATATTTTTGACTTGAAAAACGTTTATTCTATTTAAATTTTCTTAATAACATACACACATACAGATATATGGCTTTACGTATTTATATATTGTGTAAATTATATGGCAAAAGATGATAATAATGCCTATCGTTGCACTGATTCAAATGGAAGAACGTATATCTGTTCTAGTCACTTTTGCCTTACAAATTTTTTGGGATCTTCCTTGTCGACGTAGACGACGACGGCGTTAAGATTGTGGAAGATAACTGATAGCAAGAACCTTTTTATTTCAAACAAGACGATGTGAACAAAAATCATTCAATGCATTATGCTTTAATATCAAAAATTCCAAAACCAACAAGAAAATTAGTTAAAAAAACTGTTAACAAACAAGCATAGATTAACAACATGCATGTGTGCAAGAGTTGAAATTATGCCAGTAGCATTATATATATATATATATATATATATATATATATATACATATATATAATTGAAAATTATATAGTATATATACGCAGCCATATTTTTTAATTTTTGTTGCTAGACAGTTCCAAAAAGCACCACAAACTAATCAAAAAAAGATAACTTGACATTTCAATCAAGTTGCAGAATTCTTATCCTTTTTAAATCTGAAATTTTCAAAATAAGAATCTTTGTTCAGTAATTTCGCTTATTATATTTTAAATGATATAATTAGAACAGCCTACACACTAACGGCTAAATATAGATTTAATCTATCTTGAAACAATTCAAAAGTTCACAATTATGAAATATTTCCATTGAAAACTCTCAGGCAAGAATATATTGCTAAACAACTGCTGTGAATGAAACATGATTACGCAGTGCTCACATGATACTGCTGACCATTCATCCTTATAAGACACTACTTTTTGTAGCAGTTTACATGATCTCCATGACATGAACAATTATTTCAATCAAATTGGAAATAGAAAGCATGATGTAATAAGTATGTTAATTTGTTTTATTTATAATCAATAAATGAGAACCAAAAAAAAGCAAAATATATTGAATATTTGTAGAATAAGTCAACAGAATGATTAAGCAAGAACATAAACAAATAAGCCTGTATTTGAAATAACAAAATAAAATAAAAACAAAATCGTTAAACAAGACTGAACGTGGAAATAGTAAAATTGACCCCCATAATGATTTTCAAAAAATATTTACTAAAATTGATAAATAAAATGTTTAGGAATTAGAAGTGCTCTTGATGAAGCACGTTATTGAAAACAAACGACATTAAAATAAAATGGGACTAATTTACTGGTGACGGCAGACGATGACTGGTACATTAGCGTGGTGCACAACGTAGTCACTCACACTACCCATGATGGTACGTCTGATGGTTCCAAGTCCTCTGGTTCCCAATACAATCATTGTCACCTTCTCCTCTTGAGCTGTTTCAACAATCGTTTCACCTGGACGTCCACTGAACACTGCTTTTATTTTTCCTGGAATCTAGAGGTACATTAAACAAATGCCAATGTCGAAGATTACAAAAATTTGATTTGTAAATTATACCTGATTATTGTAAAATTGTTTATTAGCAGAATGATGAAAACTTTAGAAATAAAAATGGAACAAATAAAGCTAACATTGGCAGCCTTCATTAAATCAGCATATTTGTTTTCCAAATCTCTCACTTTATGCTTCTCACTATCAAGCATTTGATCCCACACAGACTGACTCAGCATCATCGCCTCTGTTCAATTAACATAATAGTTAAATGTTCTATTGATGCCAAAATATTTAAATGTCATGTGCACACAAGCTCTATCAAATTCAAAGGAAAAATTAAATACATTTCACAACCAACACCAAAGATTGAAAATATATCAGAAACTTAATTTAAATTGAAATGAAGACATTCCACAAACATAAAGAATTTTTGAAAATGTTCATTCAATTGTTATTCTATTATAAGCGAAAACTATTATCTACATAGATCCAAAGCTATTTTCATTTTTAAAACTTCAGGTTAACAAATTCAACTAAGATGGTTTGGTTATTTGTAAAACTAACTGTGTGCAATAGTTTATATTCTCATGTGACAAGACTAAAATAAATGTATGTGATAAAATCCACAAGAGAGCAAAGGGCCGGTTTTTTTGTCATAAAAAAATGTGGTGATATTGCGCTTTTTGTCTGGATTTAGTTTATAGTGAATAAAATTATTTAAGTATAGTATACATGTGTATAACTGATATCGTTTTTCAATAGTAACTGTTTGATTTCTTAATCATTCTTATCTTAATGAATCATTAAGCACATTGGCTTAACGTTAAGCGGACCAATTTATAAACATGCATAGAAATGAAGACAATAATGTTCATGAAATTGTTGAAGCTCTTACTATTTTATGAGCACAGCACATCAAGTTGAACTATAAAAATTTATATTATATAATACATTGTACTTCTTACTATATAGAGATATCACGCTATAAAATAAATGTGAAGTGTTTTAAATGTAATAATATCATAATAATGAGAGCAAAATAAATGGTCAGAATTATCACATTAAAACAGTGAACTAATTGCCAAATCAAAATAAGCTAACTGACAATTTCTTACATGTGACTGAAAAACGTTTAGCCTGCAAGCATGATTAAAATTTCAGAATATTATGTCTTAATAAGTAATATTGAGAAATTAGTATAGCTTTCATTATAAGGTTAAAGTTAAGAAATTATTTATAATTATTTCCATAAAGCTTTTTGGGAATTAAGTTTTGGCAAACGTTAAGAAAATTTGCCTATGAGATAAACTGTCATAAGTTTTAAAAAATTATTGTCAATAGCTGACATCTGGGAAAAACATGAGAGTATATGATGCACACATGAAAAAAATACAATTGGATTTACAAAAGGTCTATAACAACAATTTCGTCAAAATTATCAATTGAAATTTTGAAAGCATACTCAACACTGTAAGCCGCTGAATTGAAAATATGTTGCAAAAATGCAAGCCGCAAAAAAGCAATCAGGAGTTAAACATTTTTCAACTCTAGGCAGAGTGACAAGTATTTATAAATATATTTTTTTAGTTTTTTAGTCTGAAAATGGTTGATAATCATAAATAGTAGATTATCATCAATTGATACAATTATGTGCATGTCCAACATCTTTATCTGAGACATGAATTGTTACCATTAACTGAAATTAGATAACCTCAATCTTTTCAGTTGAGAATATATACTATTTTCATTTAAAATCGATATTTCATATAGAAAAGCATAAAATATAAAAAGTTATAAGATTATAAAAAAAGTAATAGTAATTTCTAGACTTTAAACTGATCTAAAAAAATGAGGGAAAATTTTTATCCAAAAAATTATATTAAACATAAACAAAAGCAATGAGCTCAAACAATTGTCAAATTAATGAAATATATGGACTTCTCAAGTAAATAAAAGCAACATTTATAAATAACGAAATAAATAAACAATAAACTTTATATTAATTCAGAGTAAATTATGCATGAGTTGTGATTTAAAACATCATTGCAATAAAACGAAAAACAATTTTTTACACATAAGTCAATGAAAATTTTCTGAAACTCAACACACAACAGATACTGGACTTTATACTGAGACCAAACATACATGAAACTAAACATAGTTTTCAAGTTTAGCATGTCAGATCCCAGCAATTATTTGTAATGTATGACAATATGAGTGACTGTATATACTATATTTACTGTACTATAGAATTTTTATTTATTTTAAGCATGATATAGCATATAAGCATGATGGAATAAAAAAGCTTTTTTCTGTATTCCTATACTATCTTCGGTGTTATACTCAAGTATGTTATATATATATATATATATATATATATATATATATATATATTTTTTTACAATATTCTATAAATTCTACCAAAGAATTTTCGGTAGAATTTATAGAATATTGTAAAAATTATGGTCTATTACCAACATACATATATATATATATATATATATATATATATATATATATATATATATATATATATATATATATATATATATATATATACTCTGCCTCTACATGC